ATGGATCAATAAAATTTACATAAAATCTTTCTTCTGAACATAACTAATTACTAAATGAGTATTCTTGTCTTACAAAAATAATAGTCTGAAAAGATTATGGAAGGGAGAAATAAGGAGAATTAACTTATATGGGAAACAGGTTGAAAAAGTGTCCAGTAGTGAGCAGCAAATTATAGCTCAGAAACTCACCGTTAAGCCTAGTTCGCATTAAGCTAGTATTTTAGTCTAGTAGCGAGTAATTTAGTAACTAAACGTGTCTGAACACTAAAAATTTAGTCGATTAGTTTAGTAAGTAATTTAGTCGAGTCAATCCATTTTATTCTATTTTTTTGGGCGAGTAGCAGCCCCCACCACGCGTCCGAGCTCACTGGTTCACCGGCTAAACAAGTACGAACCTGTCGAATTAGTCGAGTTCATTAGTTGCCGCCATAACATTCATTAACAGAAAATTTACACAACTTTCGGACATTTTCAAACTATTGAAGTATTCTTTGGGATCTTCCAATGCTAATTCCTTCAGAAGACAATTAGTAGCTCCTACTTTATCTTGTCTTTCGATCCATTTTCGTACCCATAGCTTCTTTTTATTAATCACACAAATTTCCTCATCCACCTCTTCTAAAATAGCCGTTACGATCAGCTTAATCAGTTTATTTACTTTATTGCGTTGTAGGCTGTTCATCTTTCAAAACACCACTCACTTGTAAACTGTACTCGACCAAAGTGCGAACGAGTTTTGGTGAGTAGCGAGTAATTTAGCTACTAAATTACTCGCTACTAGACTAAAATACTAGCTTAATGCGAACTAAGCTTTACAGCACTAGCGTAGCAAGTAGATGTGATGTGAAGTTAGTAGTTTTTAACGGAGTGAAGTGTGCTGAATTATTATTACTTGAAAATAATATATAATTATATTGCTGTTTGCCTATGCTAGAACTATTTAGAAAAGTGCGCCACAGCAAAGCGGAAATCTTTCTTTCCTTGTTTAATTCACCTTCTTACTTTTATGACGTTATGTTTTAAACTAGCGACTCACCCTCGCCTCACTCGGGTTCGTCCCTGGATACTTTTTTTTGAGCGGAACTCTAATTCTTTTTTTTAAATAAAAGTAGCCTATATTACTCCCTATAACATCAGTTACCTTCCACTGAAAGTCCGTCAAAAACAGTCCAGCCGTTTCAGAGATTATTCGGAACAAACAGACAGACAAAAAATTTTGAAAATTAGTTTTTCTTATAAGTACCGTATATAATTTCATATGCATTTAGTAAAAAGGTTTATTTGGACATTACAAACTAGTTTTCTGTGGCGCCACCAATTTAATGCTTGTCAGCGGTCACTTTTTATACGAGAAATAGTTCTCCTTAGTCCTACCCTCCATATCTCTTTGGTACAGACACAGCATGGCACGTCAAGTCAGCCTTAAGCCACAGATTAAGGAGACTGCCTCAAACCGCGATATTGCCTGTCCTGTGTTTTAATATTTTAATAATTTTACCTATTAAAACCCAGTATTAGGGAATAGTATTTAACTTCAAGTATTTTAGGTAGTAAGAATTGGATGGAGCAAACTAACTAATATGCAGTAAAATTTATAAATATTGTAAACTAAATGGTCTTTTACAAGCAACTACAAAACATCCTACAAGTTAAACTGCAGTAAAGTTATTAAATACTGCATGTCTTTTAGTTTTTCACAAGAAATTACAAAATCCCCCACAAGTTAATGTGCAGTATGGAATGTTAATACTGCACTTTAATTAGGAATATAAATAAAAAATATTTTTTCTTAACCTTTGCAGTATAATCAATTTGTATAGAGTCGAATAATACTGCATTTTAATAAGTTTTTTCTTGAATCTCCTAGAACAAACTACTATTTTAAGTGCCACAAAATATGATAAAACACTGCAGTTTAGTTAGGAAACAGAGAAAAATCTTGTGCAGTATTAATTGTACTGCGGTTTAGCTGGTAAACATGGAATATTTTAACAGATTTGTGATATTTTTGCTGTTACACCTTCCGAAAAAACATTAAAATAAAATACTTTTATTAGCGCTACAGAAAAAATAATTAATTTGACTGATAGCTACTAAAATGGGGATTTAGAATATATATTTAACTCAAAACCGACCAAAATGTCTATTACTGCACTTTAGGCTCACTCAGGTGGGCAGAGTTGGTCAAAAGCATGTCTTATTTGGTTTTAAAATATATTTATAAAAACTTTAACCATATTTATTAATTACTATTATATAGTCATTGAACTTATTAATATATACAATTGTCGTCTCAAAAGTGCCCTCAAAAACGAATTGAAATTGAATGGTGCTTAATTCAAATCTCTTTTGTTCATTGCTTTTCGGATGACAAAATTAAAACGCACGTTGTTTCGTTTAAAAAAGTACTCTATGTGGTGTGCGTAAGTTCGAATTTGTGTTTATACAATCAAAACTTTTGATTTTAGAATTCTTTGATTTGACTTAACGTCACATGTCGACGCCATTTTTTAAGGAGATATTTGTTAGGAAATGTATATCTATGTTTTTAGGGTTCCGTACCCGAAGGGTGCCAACGGAACACTATTACTAAGCCTCCACTGTCCGTCCGTCCGTTTGTCTGAGGGCTGTATCTCATGAACCGTAATAGGTGGAGTTGATATTTTCACAGAGTAGGTATGTATTTCTAATGCCGCTATAACAACAAATAATAAAAATAAATAAACAAGAAACATTTTTTAACGTCCGTAATCGAACATCGAAGTAGCTTTGTATGGGCTGACACCGATTTCGAAAATATTTGATTAGGTATGTATTTAATAGGTAGGCTTTAATTACTTAGCCAAAGCACACCGACTTCGAAAATATTTGATTAGGTATGTATAGTAAATGAAAACTACCAATCAGTTATTTTTTACTTTTTAGTGCTTTTGTTTGAAGTCGGTTTTTATTTTTTTGTTAAAAAGTTTTTATTTTGATACCGCCATTAATTGGTTTGGAAGAAATATTTTTTAAAGCCACAAAGTAGCGCCTGATATCCGCCATTTTAATTTTTAACTATTTTTATATTATAACGATAACGATATCGCGTTATTTAGACGAATCTAACAACGCATGAATCCTTAAAAATAGGCCTACGCGTTTTACTTCCTTTAGCTCTGCATATTTATTTATCTGTAATTGTTTTGAATAAATTATCTATGGGAGTTAGGTACAGCTATATCAATGATGTAAGCGATTTTGTTTATTTTGTCTTGAATAGTTGATACACGACACATATATAATATTAATTAATATTATTATTATTCATACTTTTTTAAATACATGCGTATTATAAATATAAACACCCATAACTGGAGTTGCCATAGTGGCCTTGAGGCCTTACATAGAGGTACCTACAACATTGCGCAGCGGCAGCTCGGGGATAGATATATTTAGATACCTTAGCTTTTATTGCCATAATTTAGAGCCTTTACAATTACAACTAGAGTTGCTAGATGTCGCCGTTTTTTCAATACTCACTTGCGCCATTTATTATCTATTTTAGGACAAAAAAAATAGCCCGCTGAGTAGCCCCAATTAGCGATGTCCAAATATTTGTATGGGACGCACTATCTGTACTAGTATAGTATTATATGATCTGAGATACTACATACATAGAGTAAAAGTCATAGGTTTAATAAAAAGTACATGTACGATGGTACGGAATCCTTCGTGAGCGAATTCGAATCGCACTTGACCGATTTTTAATATATGGTAGAATAAAAAACCAGTACATTTCCAATATGATTTATTTCATCAATCAATTTAAATATAATCAACATTATCACAATAGTTATAAATGCAACATAACACGTCAACACAATAATTGCAAAATAACTCAAATATTTTCAATTAAATCTTAAATGTACTAAAACTAAGACACAAAGACCGCGACATGCCGATGATATTGTCATATATAAAATTATCAGCCTAGTGAAAACTCGTTGTGTTATAAAAAGTTAGATTTTTATGGATCTTTAAAAAGTGTGCTTCATAGGAAGAAATTTTTTTTAATAAAAAAAATAGCAACAATAATCATTAATCTTTTTTAAATCTACATACATTACATTTAACATAAAAGTAATCTACGTGATATTCCTGACCAAAATTATCTGTGAAAATCTTATTTTTCATTTCTATATCCGTTCAGTCGTTCTGGCGTGATTAAATAACTAACAGCCATCCATCCAAACTTTCGGATTTATAAATATTAATGGGATGAGATGAGATCAATATAGAATAGGATAAGAACAAAAAAGTGAACTAATGAGGTAAACCTTTGAATCAGCTTATGTTCCAAAAACACTTTAGAAAGTATAAATATCGTCACCAAAGATATTATGTTCGCCTTCGTTTTACAAAAACATAACAGATAACTCTCCGTTATACAATTATATAAACATTTTCAACTTTTAATAAAAGTTCATTTCGTCAGTCATTATTTGGACTTTTTGATAAATTTTTCTATATACTGTATGGCACTCGTATGTACAGTAGTCAATATGCGCTTGAACTCTCATCAGGAACAAAGAAAAAATAGTTCGAATAAATGTCGATAGATGGCGTTTTATCACGTAAAATGAATAAAAGGCAAACATAATTATTATTATTAGTATTTTGTTATCTGTGTTACTATCAAAAACGTAAACTTCAAGTTTTTCATAAAACCACATAAATAATATTATTATTTACATTTAAATAAAGTTATTGACAGACAAATGTGAAAAAAAATTAAAGGCTCTAAACTTGAAGGATCTTTAAGTCATAGCACAAAAAGACACAAAGTCCTAATACATTTAGACATTTATAAATAAAAATAGCTTCAACCGTCTCAGTGGTAATAACATCGGCAAAATAAAAATAAAAATTTGTAATACCGTCGTGGCATGACTGTCATAATTCCTTAAACAATAAAAACTCGTAGTGATTGCGCTTAATAAGAACTGTGTTCAACTTCATCTTTTTAATACTGGCCTGGAAGTAAAAAAAAACATTATATACCATACTAGTGATCTGCACTTACTTTAGTAACATTTTCACTGTGTCACGTAAAGTTAAAAATCATAAAATTTATTAAAAAAATAATACTGTATGTATATTATTTTCGATTCATTTCATCTTCGATTCATATATTTTCAACGGCCAAATATGACTCAGGCTTTATATAGGACTTTAATATAGATATAAAAATAGTTATTGTGAGTGTGCCTTAGAAGATAGACATACTATTGTGGACTTTTCTGTAGGCCTTCTTTAAGACCTACAATGTTCTAGTACATTGATTTGATGTATCTCTTAAGATTTTCATGTAGGTATCCAAAAGGTTGAACCCAGTAACATGTTATGACTAGACAAAATTTAGTTAAAATCGGTTCAGTACTTTGTGTGAAATACACAAATATACAGACAGATATATTTCAATAGCTATTGTTTTGGAAATTATATTCTGAATACAATACATAACACTCATTAATTTAAAAAATCATTTGCTCTTGCAATTAAAAAAAAACAAATATGGCTTCCCAAAAATTTATAAAAGCAGATAAACAATTACAACTTACTTCTTTTGAAATCCAAACTTGCTCAACAAGGTTGGTTGATTATTGGGCAATGATGCGGTTTTCTTCAGCCCTGACACTCGACATGTTGATTTTTTAATATTATTGACATTGTTTACACAATTTGTGCTTTTTTTAAACCTATCTAGTGTTGGTTGGGATTTGATTGGCGATATGGGTTGCTGCTGAAAAAAAAATTGATTAAAGGAATAATTCATTCATCCTAACAAATCCCAATGGATAAAAAAAGTTCAATTTCTAATTTACTAAGACTAGAAAATAATAACATAAAATTACTATTATATAATTTAATGTTGTTATGAAATAGCTTCTATAAAAAAATGCGTATATTCTTTTTTGTTCCTTGTTAAATACATCAAAGCAGGTCCTGCATGAGATTAATTTCTTTATGTCTAATCATGTTACATATACATAAAAAAATAAAACAAAATGACTACAACTGTATGTTTGTTCAAATATCATCAGACTTTGACTGGTTAAGATAATTAATTCACTTTCATATATCGATTTTTGGTTCCTGACATTTCGAATGCTTTACAGCATGGACACGGGAGAAAAAAATTCCGAAAAAATAGTTTTATTTAAAAATAAGGTTCCGACAAATTGAGAACCTCCTTTTTTTTTTAACGTTGGGAAATGCATTTACGCACGAGGTGTGGGACTCACCGGCAAAGCCAGTACTACCCCCTAAAACCCAACGAAACCTTCCCCCGCCTTAATGGGGCGTCGCAGGATCGCTTACGCATTCAACTACGACGCCCCGACGGCAGGTCTGCCGAAGCAGACCACAACAACCACGGGGTTGCTCCACAGTCCACTCTGCTATCAGAGAAGTACCAGGAGCAACCCGCATGGTACACTGCCCTCCTAAGAGGGCCACCTCCCACCGCCCACCGAAGTAGGCCACCTCCCTGTGCGTTTCTTGGCTTCGCGCCCGGTTGGGTTGCCGGGCACTACTGAGCCCCCCCACCACGACAAGGTGAACGCACGTTGGGGGAAACTGAGAACCTCCTCCTTTTTGAAGAAGTCGGTTGAAAATGTCAAATATTCGTGTTAATCTAAGAAAGTATAACAGATTGAAACAACTCATACAAAAGTAAATTAAAAACATTGCTATCATTATAAAATATAGTAATTAATGTAACTTACCTGGGAGTCTTCAATGACGTTATCACTATCTACAATACTCTCACTGAAACCAGTATCACTGGATGTTTGCGTATCACTTATCAATTTAAACGGATTCCTAGATTTTGGACTATTATTCACTGATCTATTGCTTGGACTGTTAGTGTCAACACTGTTACTTGATGGACTTAAAGAATTTTCCTTCTGGGAAGACGACAGCATCTCTATATCATAACACGGTGTATCAATCTCTAATTGGTCGACAGATTTTGATTGAACTTTGAATGGATTTACACTTTTCTCTGGAGATTCTTCAATAACCACTTGCTCTATGTCAACTGAATTGAAAAACTTGCTTTCAATTACATTACTATCTAATACAGTTCTTGGAAAACGGCTTAATTTCTTTAATACTGAATAACTGTTGTTTTGTAGGCACTTTTTGAATGAACGTTCTTTATTTTCTAGTATTGGTGATTTAACTTTTTGGTCAGTTGATGTATCTAATATGGCAATATTGTGTTCATCTTGCGTGTCTGTGTATGCTTCCGAGTCTTCTAACCTTTGCTTTTTACTCGCTGGCTGATTGCAATACATATTACTCAGTGCTTCAATGGATAAACTGCAATTAAAATTATTATTATTGTTTTTTTTTGCCTGTTGACATAAATTAGGTCATATGTTGATTCCAGATAATTTCACAGAAATGCAGAAATAACAATCAAACAAACAAATACACACACACAATTATAAACATTTACATATACATAAAGGATGATATTTTTCAATTGGGTGTGAATGGTTTTAAGTCCACACATTCATCTCAACATTCTCGCATATCTGCCACATGCACCTTTCTTTTATTTATTTCATACTAGCGGCTCACCCTCGCTTCGTTCGGGTTCACCTCTAGAAAACCAAAAACAAATCTATCTCTCGGGAACCGTATATTTTCCCCGGATAAAAAGTAACCTATGTGTTATTCCAGACTATAATCTATCTCTGTACCAAATTTCATCCAGATCCCCTCAGCCGTTTTGGCGTGAAAGAGTAACAAACATCCATACATACTCACAAACTTTCACATTTATAATATTTATATATACAAATGTTGCCAACATTCTGATCCATTATGAACGGTCTTATTGCGGCCTTACAAATTAGCCCCTTGAGATTCTAGGGCATATGCGAGTCACAAATCGTACCCTATCTGAATAATCAAAAAATTAACCCACTATTGTTTTATTAAATGCACTATATAGATTAAACAAAAACATTTTTTATATAACATACCTTTGATCTTGAGTCTCCGGCACGTATTTACTAACTAAGGTAACAACTTTCTTCCTTTGTCTCGTTTGTGTAGATATTATGGGTTCTTGTTTTTTCACCTTTTTCGCCCATGGAGTTTCATCACTCAAATGTTCTATATACACAGGATCCCATATACTGGGATGAGTTGATATACCTTTATCTTTCCAACTTGAAGTTTTCACTGGTTCATTCTGTAATGGTTATATTAAAATTTAAAATTAAATGGAGACTTACATCTTAGACTAAGACTAAAATCTAATATAAATCTAAAATCTAAGACTAATCTATACTAATATTATAAAGAGGTAAAGTTTGTGAATTTGTGACATTGTAGGTGGTAATCTCTGGATCTACTGAACCGATTTAGATGAAATTTGGTAAGAATTAGTTAAGATAGTTTGAGACCCTGGGAAGGACATAGGATACTTTTTATCCCGGAAATCATCCCTTAAGGGGGTGAAAATGGGGATGCAAGTTGTATTGTTAAGCATGCTAGGGACGAATCCGGCGAAGCCAAGGTGAGTCGTTAGTATCTTATAATATTAAAACAAATGAGCAATTCTTGTTAATTTATAAGAATATTATATGTATCTGGAAATAGTTCTAGAGATTTGTTCCAATTTGGTTCCAAATTTTTAAGGTTTTGCTTTTTATGTTTATCTATATAGGTGCCCTTTCTGAAAAGACGCAATTCTTATATTATTGCCGAAAACTTACTTAGTTTATAACTACAGTTATAACGTACTTAGTTTATAAATAACAACAGTTAGTTTATAATTAACAGTTTATAACGTACTTAGTTTATAAAATACGGTCTACTAATGACTCATTGATATAATGACTAGCATTTACAGTTGAAGACCTGGAATTCAATCCCAGGTTGGGCCAATTATAGTTATAAAGGTTTCCTTAGTAAGAAAATTTAATTTAAGGATGCATTATTTTAATTTTCCTAAAATAAGATTATTTTTAAACCTGAAATTATTTTTTTGGAATTCAATCTTATTCTTTTATTAATTTTACATTAATAAGAAATAACAAATGTATACATATACACCATCTATGTATATCTATTTGAACAAAAAAAAATTCTGGATATTTTGTAATAAATAATGTTCATACCATATTATGAATATCTGGATCCCAGTTGTCTAACTTCTTCAATGTGAAAGGTTCTATATTGCCCAAGGCCAATTGGTAAGCAACTTTAGGGTCTAACAGTTCGCCAGCGTTCACGCATAGCGCCATTTCTATATCTGTAAAAATATATATTTTTTATTGATTAACGTGACACGAGCGAAAAATATATTACCTTAGTTGACCTTTATTTTTATATATATAAAGGCTATTTTATTCAATAATATCAAAAAATATATGCAAATGCAAATAATTAATAAATATTCCGAAATTTCATAGTTTCTAGTAAATAAGAAGTTTTAGTTTATAGTAGTAATAGAAGAGATGCTAATAAGTTATTGGACAGACTATTACTTGATGGCTAATCATCTAAATGGGGTTCTTCTTTTACTGAGACAAGATGTGTGTGGGGTATATTCGAAAAAGAAACAATTTTGCTTGATGTATTTTATAAACTTTTACGTGACATTAGCGTAGTAAACGGCACTCCTAGAAGCCATTAAACTTAAGAATTAAATTGAATTATTTTATAAACAGCCCCTAAGGATAACACAAACATAACATACTTTTTTGGTAGTTTTCGAAACTACTTTAATTTTTATATCAAAAAATCTAATTACTCTCAAAATATTCATCACCTTCATCATCTGGTTCGGTAAGACGAACCATTCTCCTTTCAATAGGATCATACACATACTGATGTTTGAATGTAGCTTCAGCTTTTAAGAAGTTCTCTCGATACTCGTCAGTTACAATTAGTGTAGATCTGTTAAAGAAGCTTGGCAATTTCCGGAGTGCCTGTAAAATAAAATGTTACCTTGTAAATTAAAAAAATATATGTATCATAAGTGTAGGAAGAAACCAATTTACATAAACTCACTAGCGACTCACCCTCGCTTTGCTCGAATTAAAGTATTACTTTGAATACTATACAATATACATATTATATTATATATATGTAGCCAAAAACCCTTTCTCAATAAACGTGCTATCTAATGCAAATACAATTTTTCAAATCAGATTAGTAGTTCCTGAGATTAGCGCGTCCAAACAAACAAATATACAAACTCAGCCTTTTTATAATATAGAAGTATAGATAGACACTAGTGATCTATATCTATATGCTTGCAGCTATACTGTATGAATTCCTTTTTTTGTTTCAACATTTTTATGCAGCACCTTTTTATTGAATTTAAAATTTGAATGTTGTTAAAAGAACACTAAAATTGAGCTTATACTTTAAAAAGTTGAACTATTAGTTCAATTTTAGGGTTTTTTTTAAATTACTAAGCAATAATGTTTTGTTTTACATGTTATTTAATATCCTATTATTCTAGTACAGCTATACTAATATTATAAATAGATAAAGTTCGTGAGTTTGTCACGTTGTAGGGGGTAATCTCTGGATCTACTGAACCGTTGAAATTTGGTAAGAAGATAGTTTAAGACCCTGGGAAGGACATAGGATACTTTTTATCCCGGAAATCACCCCTAGTATTCATTCATTAATATGCGTGCAGTTTCATCCAATTAACATAGTATTGGCTACTCAACAAATATCTTTAGAGTTTGAGTATATTATTATGAGAGCTATATACATATATCCAGCTGTTTCAAAAAATATGGTATTTTTTTTAATTAACCAATGAATATTGAAGTATTTTCAGTCATTTTTAATATTGACTAAACAGACATCTGCCGTTTAAGAATTCTAACAAAGATCTTAAGCAATTTTTTACGATCCCGACGATGTTTGTTACTCAATCACGCCAGAACGGATGATTGGATTTGGATGAAATTTGGCACAGAATTAGATTAAAGTCTGGAATATCACATAGGTTTTTATCCCGGAAAAATGTACAATTCCCGTGGGATAGATTTGTTCTTGCGTTTCATTAGGGATGAACCTGAGCAAAGCAAGTTGCTAGTTTTAAATATATTGTATGTACTAACATTGGCAAAATTATTATCCTGGGTAGCCACTACAAACTGCCTTGCTTTCGCCAACCCAATCCCTGGTAAAGATGCGAGATAGTCACATCCAGACATAATGCACATTTGTCTGAACTTGTCAAATGTATACTTTTCTATAGGACACTTCATAACTAACGGTAGTTTTGCTGTATCCACTAGTGTGCCAGTTCCATCAAGATCCATTTTGAATAGGACCTGTAGAAAAAACGTGTGTGTTTATTTATGTACGCACATAAGAAGTTATACTACTTTGGCGTAACAAAACAAAAATTGCTAAAGCTTTCATCCCGTATGTCACAACTCTCTGTAAAAAAAAATGCAGCTGACTTCATCATGTCGCTTTTTGGCTGTCGGTGTGCACGCGCATCGTAAAAATTTTACTGTCATATTTTTTTCCAAACGTGCCACAAGAAGTATATCATCAAAAAAAATTAAATATAGTACTGGCAATAAAATTATTGAAAATGGAAAATGAAAAATAGTGATTTTACGAATTGTTGGGTACCTATCTTGAGTTTTTGTATATCAATGGATGAAACAGAATTATTAATAAAACTAAATAATCTCATTGAGAACTGATGAGAGACTAAAACATTAACAATCTCTAATAATTTGATTACTCCAGTTTTGCTTCGCTCAACAAGATGTATACATTTTATTTTTTTAAGATTACATGTTCTATGTCCATTAAGGCAGTGGTACCCCAGTGGTAACGTGCTCGCTTTTTTTTTTTTTTTATTTCTGTTTGGCGGCTTTTTTATATCACTGCGACCATTTCTGGTCTATTGTGATCGCTACGCGCTCGCTTGGGTAACCGAGGGAAGTAGGTTCCAATCCCGGGTCTCGCACCTCTCATATATTCCTGTGCGACTCATTTCCAACACGATTACGACTTGTCTTAACATTGAAGGAAAACATCGTGCGGACAAGAGGCGGAAACCTGCATGTCTGAGAGAACCTAGCAAGTTTTTAAACGACATGAGGACTATGCTCGGCCACTTGGCTGGTGTGGTGAATTATGACCTGATCCCCCTCGTATTAAGGGGAGGCCCACCCCCAGCAGTGGGACATTAAAAAGGGGTAATTACATATCAAAAGTTCAAATCAAAGATAATTAATTCACGTACTTTTGTGCATCCAAATAGTATCAAATCTGAGTCTTCAGTAATAACCAACTGTGCATAGTTCTTTATATTCAAGTATGCTAATTGTGCGTCAGCTTCATATGGTGCCACTATACAGTCTACATTGCGATTCCTACATTCCTTAATTAAAGCTAAGGCCATTTTGTGGGTAATATCTACACTTCTTCTTATATGTGATCTGGCTTCTTCTACCTGTAATTTTAATAAAATGTGATTTATAAAATTTACTAGTAAGTCACTCTCTTGTCCCTAGGTATGTTTTAACAATTAGTATAGAATAGACTATATTATATGTATAACATATGTTCATATATACTTAGGTATAGAAAAGTGGGTAAGTACTTTAAAAAACGTAAAATCTTATTTAAGCTTGGTTGGTTAAAAATGCTGTGACATTCTTTATTTCTTACAAAAATTATAGGAAATAACAAATTTTTATGTCATTAACTTGAGAGATAACTTGTTCCCAATACAAACTTTCAACCCCTACTTCACCCATTTCAAGTTTCACTTTTGTGATAAAAAGTAGCTTATATCCTTCTTCAAGGTCCCCTCCATCTGTATACCAAAATTCATCAAAAATGCTTCAGTGGTTTTGGTGTGAAAATGTAACAGACAGACTTTACTTTTGCATTCATAACATGTGAAAGAAATAATATGATTGTATATGCCTATTATAAAAAAATTATGTTTTAAAAATCAATTTACAAAATCTAAGGCAAAAAACATCAAAGAAGAAAGTATTTACTATATATAATATGTCAAAGAAACACCTTAATATAAATTTGAACATTTACCTTTCCTAAACTTAACAATTCTGCTGCTCTCTTTTTACATATATCCCGAGTTCTGAAATCATACAGAAACTATAATGAGAATATTTTTAATACTAATTGGTAATAATATTGTTTTTATATTATTATATTTGTTGGAAGACAAAAACAAATCTATCCCTCGGGAACCGAATATTTGTCTGGGATAAAAAGTTTATGTGTTATTCCAGACTATAATCTATCTCTGTGCCAAGTTTCATCCAAATCCGTTCAGCCATTCTGATGCGAAAGAGTGACAAACATCCATACTTACAAACTTTAACATTTATAATATTAATATTAAACTAGTCCAGTTTTAAGAAGCTGCTCAACCCTTATGTTGACAGAAAGTAATCTAAGTTAATAGGTAGTGTAAGCTATCAAATCAAATTAAACTATAATATATTGAAATAGATTTTTACAAGCATTTTTAAAACTACCTCCATTCTTATTTCACTTAAATCCTTAGCACCATTACAATGTGAAGAAGGAACTAATTCAAAAACATTCACAAATATCAAATTTAATATTAATTAACACCCCATGCAAAAAGAGGGATGTTTTATGTTTGACTGCTATGTGTGTGTGTGTCTCTGGCACCATAGCTCTAAAACGGGTGAACCATTTTGGATGCAGTTTTTTTTTTGTTAAAAGCAGGTTTTCGAGTAGTCGTTCTTAAACATGTTTTATTAAAGTCTAAAGTATTTTTTTTAATTATTCATTTTTTAGAAAATAAAAAAAAAACATTTTTGATAATGCGAAGATTTTTTTATTTATCCTTCGAACTTTGCCGCCCCTGACAGTTTGTCGTCCTGGGCACTAAGCCCCAATGCTCTCCTAGGAAATTCCATACATTCATCTCAGCATTCCCATCGGAGCTACATGTATGATGGATCTTATTTACATTCTGTATAAAATATTTTTGTCTGTGAAGCATAACTTTATTTAAGTTTTAAAAACTTACTCTCTCCTCTTGGTTTCTGTCATAGCTTTTGCAGGAAGATGACGTCCGTCAAACACTAAAATCGGCTTGATATTCTTTGAAAGCAGCATCGTCACATATTTGAGGCAATACTTGACATAGCTAGAAACAGTAAAAATTTGTATACCTATATCTAAATATAAATTTTTAGTTAAGCTTTCTTTTAGTTTAAATAAAGCAGGAAAACTTACACGTCGGTATCTTCTCCTCGTACCAACTTATCAGCGCAAGCGAAAGCGCCTTTGTGAAGCCAACAGTAAGTATCTATAGCAACCGTAGATCCACTGAACTCATTAATATTAGCCCTTCTTGAAGCTTTCTCCAGAAAAGGTATCAAACCGGTAATACCCATCTTGTGATTGGAATAGTACTTTCGTTATCCGTATTCATACATATTTTTTATAAATATTTACATCATGTATTTCATATTTGTAATGTAATACTATAAAATACACATTATTTTAATTATGCAAATAATAAACTAATGTTATAACGACGCTCAAACCTCAAAGAATTCTTCATCAAACAGTCTAGACTCTAGAGTCAATAATATGCCCAATGGCATCTATACTCTTTGCCCAATGGTCAATACAAAAACAAATGAAACGTCAAATGTCACATTTTCCCGCCATGCGGTAATGTCAAACTTCACGACAAGAAAATAGAAATCCACAGATTAAGGAGACTACAATAGAAACCAATGTTCGAACTTGCACTTTTAGAAGCCACGAAATAAAAGAATTGAATTGAGAAATCAATGTTACGTACGTAGATGAAAAAATCAGTTATACAATATAATAGATAATAGAACTGTTTATAAGTATGTATCTTGCTGTAAGCCTTTTAGGTCATTCAAAAGGCGAGCCGCTCTCTTTCACAGTTTCAACTCAAAATCTCAAATCATTCAAATCTTGTTTCTATTCATGCATCTCTGGGTGATAAGTCAGATAGTTTAACACTGGGATGCTAGAAACCTCTCGATGATCCGATTGAATCGATCCTTGATACGCTCAATGTCTGCTTTGACAAAGTAGCTCTGAAACGAAGTTCTTTTCAATAAAGTTCACTTCATTGAACGCCGACGTCAAAGTGCGCTTTGATTGTTTGTTTACATGATCAAAGTAGTCATCAAAACTATTTTGTTTAAGTAGTTATACACCTCGTCCATCCGCTTTAGATTAAGATTTACATAGAATTAGAGAGACGCAAACTCAGCGTCTGGTCGGCCCACCCGGCTTCCGCCGGCCGAGTATGTATTCAGACAATAAAGGAGCCTCAAATCGGCTACATGTGTCTCATTTAGTTTTATTTTTTTTTTATTAATTTAATAAGTCAGTATAAATAGTTTTCAAAACGCTCCGAAACCAAAAGTGGCGCAGCCGGGAAGGATTTTCTTATAGACTCTTATAGAGTCGTAGAGATCCGTCGAGCCAAATAAATATTCTTTTCTGTTGCGGGAAGCAGAGAAAACCGAATATGGGAGTAGCGGTCATATGGTGAGTCAAACTTTTCGCCAATCCTTGTTCCGCAAATCCTCCTGTATTTTTCATGTTAATTATAAGTAATTGTTATTTTTGAGATCAAACTTTGCTCATTATAACTTTGTTGTTAAGCTGATATCTCCGTATGAAATTTTTCGGTCTTATCTTTATTCTTAGAATAGGAACATAGAGTACTTATGAACATAGAGACTTCGTTTAATAAAATTAAATATTGAATTGATTTAAAGAAATTACATAAATGTATTAAATTGTTACATAATTAAATATATAATAATAAGTTTAAATTTAAAGGAAATTAATAAATACTTAAATGATTTTACAATATAATATTTTATAACTTTTAAAAATTATATTTTAATAAAATTTCTTTTAATTTTTCAAATTTTAGTTCTTTTTTAATTGTTTTTATTGTGTGTGTGTTTTATTATAAAATTTTGATTTTATAATAATTTTTAATTGTGTGATTTTTTTGTAAAAGTTTCTTATTATTTAAAGTTCATATTTAAAGCCAGTTGCATCCTCTAATCATTTCATTACTCTATAATTATGGCAGCCACAACCGTATCATCGATACTAAAAGATATTATAGATTTAATTCCTCTGTACAGTGGTGATAAAAGACAGCTAAATCTTTATTTAAGAGATGATGCAGCTGCGCTCTTGTCTGAACGAGAGGACATTGTTACGTAGTCCACATTAAAAGCCTTGTTAATCAAACATTTTGGAGACCCTCGCAATGAAGAGTACATTAATATCGAGTTAGAACCTTTAAAAATTAATCCAGGTGAAACTTTTCTTATTTTTTTGTAATAGAATATATAAGGTGTTCGGTCGCTATTAATGTCGAAGGTGATTTCCATTCATAATTCAGCAGATTTATAACTTGTAAATTCAGTTATCTATAGACTATAGTAATACAGATCTAAACGTGTTTTTATATAACCTCCCGGAAAATATAGTGTAATAAAAATAATAACTGGTAATCTGGATCACGATGACGCGGTTAAGTACGACGGGCTTATCTCTAATTTAAATCATAATCAAATTACTATTTCAAAGAAACTGACAATAGTCTCTAAAACGTTTGATAGTTTCATTAATGTAACTGAAACCATGAACAAGAACTCTGTTCACTTTCATAATCATTTATATCATTTACATTTAATTTTTAATCTTAATCTGTAAGCTTGGTATATCCACCAACAGAAACAAATTTAGTAAAAAAAATAATAGAGGAAAGCATTTGAATAAAATCATATATTAAAGACAATCAGATAACATTTGTTCTGGAAATACCAATTACAGACAACTCAACGTATAATTATTTTAAGATATATTCATTAGCAATTTGTCATGAACCTGAAAATAAAACTCTAGCCATTATTCCTAAATATCCTTACCCTTTGGCGAAATGATTAAAGTACTTACCACTTGTTAAATCATGTCGTTCATTGTCGACCAGCGATCAATTCCTATGCACTGCAGACAATCGAGCTTTATATTATGAACATACCTGTATAGAACAGCTCATGACGACCTGACTCCCATAAGCAGCATCAGGTCCAGATCGATGAAGTTAAGATTAAGCAGGTCAATTCAGATGGCTGGCTCCTCTACAGTACAAAACACTGACCAAGCAACGCGGTCATGAGGTCAGTAAGCAATTTCTATTTGGCACTTACCTGATGACTTTCGATGAACCCTGTGACCTGGAAATTCATGGAATTCGCTTCCACCATAGAACTAATAGAATCAAATGTCATTAAGAATATTCCAACTATTACACTACCCCAATTCAAAACGGATATGACTCTATCTAGCGCAAGTGTACTCAACATCAATGGAATTAGTAAAGTGAAATGTATGGCCTTTTCGTTCAAACAGTGCGGTAATTGAAAGTGTTTTAAATAATAAGAAAGACAATAAAATCAGTGAAATTTTGGGTTACGTAACATTTGTTTTAATAGTTTTAAGTCTTTTTATCTTAATATTTTATATAATTTAGCTAAAATCGCGAAGATGTTTATCATTTAAGCAAAATTATCGGAAAGAATCTCAAATCGATCCCTCCGATAATTTTCGTCTTAGGGATGGAGGAGTTATGGTTACACCTCGTCCATCCGCTTTAGATTAAGATTTACATAGAATTAGAGAGACGCAAACTCAGCGTCTGGTCGCTCACCCGGCTTCCGCCGGCCGAGTATGTATTCAGACAATAAAGGAGCCTCAAATCGGCTACATGTGTCTCATTTAGTTTTATTTTTTTTTATTAATTTAAGTCAGTATAAATAGTTTTCAAAACGCTCCGAAACCAAAAGTAAGTTGACTTTGATCGTGTAAATGCGGCTTTGTTGAGTTACATTATGAAATTAAATTAATTGTTTTGCGGGTAGATTGATGTTGTTAATATTTTATCAAAACCTAATATGTTGGTACTATGACAATATTTTGACCTCTTGGTTTTATTTCAAAGTATAAAATCAGAGACCGGTCGTAGCGGGTACCGAAACATTAGAAATTAATGTTTGAAATAACTTAAAATGAGATTAAATCCACGTGTTATATCGTCGGCAGTTGCAGTTGCATTTACGTGTGTTGTGTCAGCGGCCGCATACTATTACAAAAGTCGAAACACTGAGATCAATGAAGTGATGGTATTCTGTAAATTACAGTTCAATGCTTATAATTACTTTGACAAATTAGTCAGTTTCATAGAAAGAGCAAAGTATAATGTGAACGTTTGCATGCCCGGCATCCACAATCCGGCAATTCAAGCCCGATTGGTTAATTTGATAAAACAGAAAAATATTAAAGTTAATATCGTAATTGATCGATCAGGATACAATGAGTCCACAGAATTCTTCATCAAGGAACTTATTGAAGCCGGTATGTTCGTTTATACTTAAAATTTAAACACAATTTTTCTTTAAAAAATTAATAACTTTACATTGCATTTTCAGGAGCTGAAATTAAATGCAAGGTAAATGAACCAGTGTTTACGATGCAACACAAATTCTGCTTAGTTGATGATAAGATTCTGATGACGGGAACGCTCAATTGGGGTAATGACCGATCTTTCGACCATTGGAACTACGTCTATATTACTAGCAAACAACAGTTAGTTGAACCAGTGAAAAATGAGTTTTATCAAATGTGGACCATCGCTAGTGATATACAGTCCATTTTTGACATTTATTGTGACAGTGACGCAGAAACTATTGAAATTCGCAACCCTGATGCGACTTCAACTTCAGATGAAAGTGGTGACCAACACGACACTGTCACAGTTGACAGCCCTATTGAAACTATAAAAAAACAAATGACAGCCGAAAAAATAAGTTCCATCTCAATTAATTACCCTTGTATTGAAGTTTAGTAATGTATTTTTTTTAATTAATTCAAATCCTTACATTTTATACTAATCTAAAATTTTTCACTTTTATTATTTATTTATAAATTATAATTGCATATTCTAATAATGAAGTTATTAATTCCAAATGAAAATAAAGTTAATGATTTTATATTTTATACATGCCCTGTTTAAATACAGAATTTTAAAAAATATTTTATTAAAAAGACAATCTATATTTTGTTTGTAATAAATTTATATTATAGCCTTGTTTTTTTAGGGCCTTGCTATTATTGTCGCCTTTTCTCATCTCTAATATTCCATGTTTAATTTCCCCATAACTTGAAACTACTTTTGTTTGAAAAAGTATTTCTTCTATTTTATATAATAATGTATTTTTTATTATTTACTGTTACTCTCTACTACTATTTTGAGTTATTGTTTCTATTTATTATTTTAATGTATATTTTCTTTTTTGCAATTAAACAAATGCTTTCAAGTTTTAATTAATTTATTATTTTTTAATTAAATACTTATACTTAAATTAAAATCAATCATGTTGAACAGTACATTTTCCTGTTTTTTTCTGTTCTAAAAAATATATTTTTGTTGAAGCAAACAAAATATTCAGAGTTATTATTCTCCACCTCTAAGAGCCTTATATTTAGTAATTTCATTAGGAAAGGTTTTGGATAATTCAGAAAGTAAGTGACTTTTAAATCTTTTGTAGGAATCAATTTTTCCTTTCACTTCTTCATTTTTTGCAAGCGCTTTGTCAATGCAATCTTTTGTATACAGTTGAGGATTTCTTCCTTGGTCAATATAACTGAAATATAAAAAAATATTTTTAGTATGCACATCTGTGAAAATACAAGAACAACATTATCAAATATTATTTAAAGCTTAAATTAAATATTTTATTCATGAATGTAAATGTACTTACTCAAAAACTTCAGTAGGTACTAAAATATCATGCACTTGAGCTTTTAACTTATCCACCTCCTGTAGTCCTGTGACTAACGATTGACTAAAAGAAAAATGAAAGTGTATAAATGTAAAACTTTTAAATAACTAAAAAAAATTTAAGACAAAAAAAACTAATGATTCCTATAATGAATAGAATCACTAACTAAACTATGGTGATATTTTTTTAACAAAAAAAATACAATTATTAATAAAATTTTACATTTGAAATTTAAATTTAATCAATCTACCACCTGCTCAGAAGGCAGTTCAGCTGAGAAAAGCCAGTGAGAAATTTCCTTTTATTAAAAATAATATTTTAGTTTATAATATTGCAATACAAATCACATAATAGTTATTCTACACATTTACATCTGCAAAGTATCGCATGATGGAATAATATGCTTTGCTCAATATTATATTTTTAATTTTTGAATTGTTGTGGCAAGTTTAAATATAGATTTTATTATTTATTGTACACCATGCCCCATTTTATTTATTGGATAAGATTATTATCCTTCACGCGATTAATAAATAATAAACAGCTTTAGTCATTAACAGGTCCTAGTACTTACATTTTTTGATTTAAAACACTTTGTCCCTGCGGTTGAAAATCACTTACAATAATACGTATTTGTCTTACATTTTCTATGAACATCTCAAGTTGAGTTTCGAGATTTTCAAGTGACGTAGACATCTTGTATTGATTTTTAAGTACAAAATTATGAAACAAAATATTAAGAAACTTTCAAGTATACTAAAATTAATTGGTTATAAGATCCAAATCAGCAACAAACAACAAATTGCTGAGCAACAAGTCAATATGCAATTACTACCTAGACCTACATTTCAATTTTCAACTTCAAGTACTTAATAATTATTTATTATTGTCAAAGTCAAACGTTTATATATGTAGCAATATACTCTATGGTCAAACGCGATCTACTCACAATTCTGAAGCCCAGTATATATCTATACTCTTTGATTCTGAAGTCACAGAGCATGAATGACAAATAAAATCACAGAGATAGACATAGATGATAGACTATATAGAGCATGTAGACTATACTATGTACCATAGACGAGTGTGTTAACCGTTGCTACCATGGTAAGATATTTTCGAATAATGCAATAAAATACAAATTTCTCGTAGATAATTGTGAGAATATTTAGAATACATCTTAAGGTTGACGTCCACTAGGGCGCTGAGTTGAGGCGAATCGAATAGCAGAAATCCGCCTTCTATATATTTACTATAAAACTGCGTCCATTAACGACGAGTCGAGGCGCGGGCGCGCGCGCCGAATGTAATCGTCCGCGCGCATTGCTCGTCAGGTGAATTTCTTCGGCAACGCGTTTCGACTCGGTTCGGCGCGCCTTAATCAACGCGGGGAATCACATGTGCACTGGCTGGGTTTTTGTATTTTATTTAAAGAGTACCTATGTATCGTGAAAAGAAACAACAATTAACTATCATATTATGTTTCATTATATAACTATACTATCATACTGTATTCTAAAGATTTACCCTCGCTTCGCTCGGGTTCGTCCCGTTTAAGTTAAGTACGTTTTAATTTTTTTAGCGAAACCCTAATTCTTTTTCTTGTTTAAGAGATAAGGCGGAACAGATAGACAAAAAAATAATGTTTTTCTTATAAGTACCTTATATAGTTTTATATTCATTTAGTAAAAAGCTGTTATTTTGAGATTACAAAGAGACACTTCTATTTTGTCTATCTGTATAGGTTTATACTTTATATATACTCCAGCCGTGTAGCGCCCGGCTTGGAATAGAGCTACCCCATCTCCTCCTGTAGGTGTCGTAGAAGACGACTAAAGGATCTAGGGACATCAATTAAGACAATTAAGTCCCATGCTCGATGACGGGCGAACGACAGCATTCCCAAAGCGTAGAGTATGTAACCCTAGCACAAGGAATAAATTCGACTCGAGTCGACTTGCCTTGATTCGAATTTCGACGCGTTCGGCTGAAGTCGACGCCTGCCTTTACATTACAATTTACAATGAGTAATTTAAATTGTTAAATTATTAATGTGTGCTAATGATTAGTTCTGAAAAGTGAAAACAAGTATCTACAAGAGAAATCTATAATAATCATTCTCACTGCACATCGATCAGGTTTTTTTTTTATAAATATAGATTAAAATCAAATATGACATTGATGATTAACGTTTAAAAATGGTCTCTATTCAATTAATAATATACCTTTATTATATATATTCTGTACTCTGTGTTATGTTCATATTTCAATATTCATTATATTAGCAATCATATGTGAACTACTTAAATATTAACTCCAAAAATGTCAATTTTGAGATCATCCTAAATCCTAATAATTATGCAATATCTATGTTATATGACATGACGTTGAAGCGGCAATAATATAAATTTAAATTATTATTAAATTTATTTTCAGCATTAAGTGAAATGCAAGATGGCAGAACATCAATCAAAATTGAGTGCAACCCAAAGTGCTATAGCAGGAGGTATATCTGGTGCATTCACAAGAGCCATTGCCCAGCCACTAGATGTTTTAAAGGTCAGGTTTCAATTGCAGCTTGAACCTATCAAAACAGGATCAAAATACAGTTCAATATTACAAGCAGTAAGATCTATTATTAAAGAAGAAGGTATAACAACACTTTGGAGTGGTCATATCCCTGCTCAATTATTATCAATATCATATGGAATTATACAGTTTGCAACATATGAAAAATTAACACAAATTTGTTGTCAAACTGATCAACAGCTTTATAAAACTCATAAACATTGGATAAATTTTTCAAATGGTGCTATTGCTGCCACTGCAGCTACAATATTTTCTTTTCCATTAGACACAGTAAGGACAAGATTAATAGCTGAACAAAAAACTAATAAGGTATACAAAGGATTCTCAAATGCATTTATTATGATAAGTAAAAACGAAGGACCTAGGGCATTGTATAAAGGAATAGTCCCTACAATAGCTCAAGTTGCCCCTCACGCAGGTATTCAGTTTACTGTTTATAAATTTTTTACTGAGAGTGTATTAAATAGAATTGAGTTTTTTCAAAGAGCAAACAATGTAAGTTCTGTTATTGAATCATCCCTAATAGCTAATATATTAGCCGGTGGATTTGCAGGCTTTGTATCTAAAACAGCTATATATCCATTTGATTTAATTAAAAAAAGACTACAGATTCAAGGTTTTCAACAACATAGAAAGTATTTTGGTAGACAAATGTATTGTAATGGAGCTATTCATTGTATAAAATTAACTATTTCAGAAGAAGGATTTTTAGCATTATATAAAGGATTCGCACCCAGTATTTTCAAAGCTGTCTTTGTTTCTGCATTACATTTTGCTGTGTATGATGAAATAAAACATCATATTTTAAAGTTGAGTGTTTGAAATGGTATAATGTAAAAGTAATGAGCTGTATAATGTGATATTTTCTCCTCCCATTGTTTCGAAATTAAGGCAATGGAAATTAGACTTAAATAAGCACTAATAACATTAAAAATACTTTCATAGTCATACCAAGAATAGGTAATGTAAGTATAATTTGAAAAAAAAAATAATCAGTTGATATTAGTACTTATGGTATTAAAAAAATCCTGTGATACAAATATAATATGTAGTGTCAAGCTTATTTGCCTTATTGTAGATACTAGATATGTTTATTTATAAATAAATATTCTTTTTGTTTTTCGTTTTTTTGTTTACTTTTACCACAGATCATATAATAATTTATACTAGTACAGATGCCTTATCCCATACAAAGAAATTGGACAGTGCTAATTTGGGCTATTTTTTTTGCTTGAATAGATAATAGATGTCGTTGTTTCGCAAATAGTTAAACTGTTTTATTATATAAATATATGCAAAGTAACGAATGGTAAATATTGTAAAATTCATTTTGCACTCAAATAAAAAAAACCGTGTTTTTAACAATTTTTAACCGTGATAAACAATTCATAAAAAATAAAAGCGCTATCTGTGAATATACACTACAAACTCATCATCTGATTGTTGATATTTCGATGATCAGTAAAATTACGCAAATTTGATTTACGGCCGCATTATTTCTTTTACCTTCACTTAGAATATTTTTTTGAAACAATAATACATACGCACATAGAATATATTTTTAAAACAATAATATACCTTTTTGAAATTTAATTTTTTGTCTTTTGTTTATTTAACACAATAACAAATCGATACATGTAACGTCACCTTGACATTTTTTTTGATTAATTTTTCTTTATTCGTGATATGACGATATGCTATTACTATATTCAAAATAAAATAATTCTAATTTATTAGATATTTTATTATTATTACAAAATAGACTATCTTGTAAAATATATGCTATCTTAATTTGCACAGAATTTTTTTAATCGTCAATACACGGAATCATTCAACCATAAGATATGACATATCCCATGTTTCTCATTAATGTATCCTTAATTGCTGGCTGCAATTCCTTCTTCATGTAAGTTGTTAGCAGGGTTCTTATGCCTTTAGTAAATATGTCCTCCATTTCACGTGAAATATCCTCAACATCGTCTAAATCATCTTCGGGTCGGAAAAGTTTACTTCTTTCGTAATTCATTCTGTTATTGCTTGATTCGTAGAGAATATCCCAGTTATTGAAAGATCTACTTTCTCTACCGTCTATATTTTCTTCAGTTGTCGAATCTTCTAAACTTGGTTCAAAACTAAATATATCTGACCGTTTTTTTCGTTTCAATGGCAAATTATCTTTGTTTTTAACGGAATTTCTATTTATATACTTCTCACAACCGTACGCATATACACTAATGAAGCCCGGTTCTACGAATTCAGAATCCGTTTTAACGTTAAACTTTCCAGGTTGTTGATTTAAGGGTTGTGTATGGAAACCAATTCCAGCTTTTCTCAATCTAAGAATCATGTTGCAGCCATTACTAAGGCGAGATTTGGGGTATGAATATTCATATTGTGAATCTGCATAGTTTCTTCTAAGTCTTCGACTGGCTGGAATCGTTCTGTCGAGGTCATGTGCTTCGTATAAGTCAACATTCCCGCTTATAGTTAGATCGTGGAATAAAAGCATGGTGTCAAGAGAAATGTTACGTGGATCAAAATAACATTTTTCAACACGAACCCAGTTGCTGTTCTGTGGTAATCGCACGCGCATTCTAGTTACATACATATCGATAGGGGCACTTCTCATTGATTGGTATAAGCTGTAGCCATTTAGGTCAATGCTTTGGCTCTGAAAGTAGTAAAAATTAATAAAATTATAACATTTTATAATATGTTTTACGTGATTTCGTTTGAATATAAAACCATTAAATAAAATTACTTTATTTAAGTACAAGCGACACACCCTCTCTCCGCTCAGGTGCGTCCCTAGTTACGTTTTAATGTTTAGTATAGACTTCTCAGAGATGAGATATGTATTTTCTCGTAGTAAAAAGTATACTATATGTTGATCCGCATAATCAGCTATCATAATACCAAATTTCATCAAAATCTGTTCAATGGTTTTCTCATGATGCGGTCACAGATTGACAGACAAAAATTCTAAAAACTATAGATTCGGCCTCTGTGCCTCTGTATCGATAATAATGTCTATATCAATAAGATTTTCCAAAAAATATTTAGGTAATGATCGGCTTAGTTACAATTTTATTATATGTATAGACACAGATCATATACCTAATACTATACTGTATATATATAAGAATTGTAGTTTACAAGACTTTGTTTTAATGAACATTGTAATTCATTACGTGTGGCATATCCAAGTTCTTTGGTTGATTTCGTTTTCTTCGTTTCAATTGTTCCAACGCTGACTCCAAGCGAGATGAGCATCGTTCTCCGGTCACCGGTGCCGACGTGAGAGGAGACAGACCAGACCCCATTGGTCGATCATACCGTTTCATCTCGAATAAAGGAAGGAATCTTGCGTCTGCACAAAGGATACATTAACCAATTAGCGCACTTCACATACCGCCGTAGATTAACTAACATCCCATCGTTAGGAGTTATGGAGAGTTACTTTAATAAAATTGTAAAGAGAAAATATTTCTTTCTTTGTTACGTAATTGATAATCTCTAAAACTATTGAACTGAGTTTAATATCTAAATAAAATAAATAAATATGTTGGGACATTAACACACACCACCATCTAGTTAATGGGAAGTTACTAGGCCTGTGTTATGGATACCAGATAGTTGATACACTACACATATATAACTTTAAATACAAACATATTATAAATATAAACTGGACTGGCTACATAACTGGAGTACAAACATTTGTGCTCATCACGCAAATGAATGTCCCCAGCGGGACTTAAACCCGTGACCGCTGGCATAACAAGTAAAAAAAAACTCTTTCACGATTGAAAAGCTTCGTTCTCCAAAAGTAACATAGACTATAAATACTTAATTGCAGTTATTATAATTTATTAGTCTGTCATCTAAAATATCACACAAGGATGAACCTGGACGCGATGATGATTGGTTAAGTACCTACTTGGATACATATAAATTTATTTCTTCTTTTGATATCAACTTTTGTATTGTAAACCACAGTAATAGTCTCTTGGTAAATTATATAATATACTAATATGTACCACACAGCTACCAGCTCTTGGACAGCGCCATCTACTTATTGATTAATTAAATAGTTAAAATAATAAGTAAGTTAAAGTATTACTCTACAAAAGCGTGAGAGCGTATAATACTGACTTAGGTAGGTACTATATCCGGCCTATATGCTCTTTTTTAGAAAATAACGTCAAGGTCGGTAAACCAAACTGATCATTTAAACCATAGGGACCAAAACGCTTAAAGATTTTAAATCATTTTTTTAATTGACCTAGCACGAAAGTCTACCTGTATGTTCCTACTTGTTTACTAAGAATATTGATTTTATTAGCAGCTAGGGACTCACCCTCGCATCGCACGGGTTCGTCCCTAGGTACGTTTTAACGGTTAGTATAGAATGATAGACTATATATAATATTTATATATACATATGTACAAATAAACAGTTCTGAACTTTTCGGTTTTCCAGCTGTTTTATGGGTTTTCCCTATTTTTTTAATACTTAAACCACCCCTGACAAACCCGCCATAAAACAAAAAAAAAAAGAATTATTCAAATTGGTACTTTTTGAATTTTAGCAAGATGGCAATTGATTTTTATATAAATATATAGATTTAGAAAGGCCCTTGTAACTCCATCTTAAAGCGTTTTAGCACTTTAACGTTCAAAGTATGTAGTACATAATAGTAGAAACGTGCATCTAAAGCAAAGGTATAAAGATAAAAAAGGAAAGTGCACACGCAATTATTTTCCATAGCGATCCACCTTTTCACTTCTATTGTTTTGCGCTAAGAACCGTGAAATTATAAATTTAAACAAATATACTCTACAAATAAAACAATATGTCCTAATTGTTATTTATTTTAGTATTAAATAATGATTCAATGTAAAAGAACAGTATCATATAGGTGTCTCTAACAACTATACGAAACATCTATGTGTTTGTATACCTATGAGTAATTTAAAAAAGGAAAGCGTGTGAATTTACAAAATTACAAAACGTGGGTATTTTTAAATAACAATAATAACGTTTATATAAGATTATTTAAGTTGGTTATATTATATTGAGACGAATCTGACGATTTAAATCGATAAATAGTTACATTTTATAATTGGCGCGTAACAATATTTTAATTATATTTAACTAGCGACTCACCCTCGCCATGCTCGAGTTCGTCCCTAGGTTGATTCCCCATACAAACTTTCATCCCCATTTTCACCCCCTTAAGGGATGATTGCCAGGATAAAAATCCAATGTCCTTCTTAGGGTCTCAATCTATCGTCCTACGAAATTTCATCTAAATCGGTTCAATAGATCCAGAGATTACCCCCTACAACATCACAAACTCACAATTCTCAAACTTTACCTCTTTATAATATTAGTATAGACTAGCGTTCGCCCAGTGATTGAAATTCGACCATAATCGATTTGTTAATGATAAGTGATAACATTAAAGCTCGTCAATAGCAACTAAGTAATAAAGAAAATTGGTTTACGAACAGACAAGAAAAAGGTAGGGAACTTTTGCAGTTATCGAAAATAATGGTTTTACATGTCTTGCTTAATGAAGAGTTTAAAATGGAATGAAATACCTATTCTTTTCTACGTAACGATGAATATGTCATGAAAATGTCTTTCCTGGTTTGTTTTCGTTAACACTAACGTATTGATGTTTATATATATATATATATATATATATATATATATATATATATATATATATATTAATATATATATATATATATATATATATAATATACAGTCGATATGATAATTTATAGGCTGGAATGTGATAAATTATGGTACTTTTTACATAAATTGTTTTGGTGTCCTTTACTTGATTAGCAGTACCTACTAATAAGAAATTGAAAACTTCAAAAATAGTTTGCTAAGATTCTATTACCTTTACTAATTGAGTGAAGTTTTATGCACATATTTTTTCCATAGAAATCAATTCACTTACTTTTCTCAGATTCTGGACCGGGTAATTCATTATCACTAGCCGAAGCCGTTTTCGCAAACAATATAAACATCCACCAAAATTTCACCATTTTCACTATAACAAACAAACATGAAATTTAAATTTTAAATTCGAAACAATTTCGTTTAACGTTTGTTTCTCAAGAAGTAATAAGTATTAAAAAAATGGTGCGAAACTAGACAATGGCTTCCTCTCACTGCGAACCCAAAATGTGAAATAAAATATGGAAGTCAAGAGACAATAAGAAGTGCAGCCAGTGGAAAACAATCCCCGCTCAAAGTAAACTTAATATCTTCTAGATGTTTTCCGCGACAACTAAGTTGAGGATGCTACTTTTGCAATGGTGACACCATGGCGACTGAAACGTTATTAGAGCGAGGATGATGAACGAGAAGATTGTACGATATTTAAACACTAGCCAGTAGTAATAAGATATATGTATTGTATATTTATATAAATTGTGTTGTTTTGTTATAATCAAGTTTACCAAAAGAGTTCAACGCGAGAACATTCCGGTGTCCAGTTAAAATTAAGTGAGATATTAGGACAGAAGATATTAGGGATTTAACAAAGGACGATGATTTAATAATGACTGACGGTTTTATCTTTAGAAAGATAATATTTTGAATATTTGAAATCAAACTATCTCCATACATAAAACTAAATCTATCCATCGCTCCATTTCTACGTAAGAGAAGTAAAAACGGTAGGTATAGGTATTTTCACAACAATTGGGTATCAGTTTCGAACCAATATACTTAAGTATGTACATACAAGTGTCGGTAATTTTAACCTTATATTCTTTGTATTTATCGATTATAATCTGAAATATCGATTAAAAATTTTATAAGTAAATATTATATACGTAACAAAGACTATAATATAAGCAAAAAAATACAATTAAGAGATATATTCATTATAATTAGATACATCGTCACGGAGAACATCTCGTAAGTACGCATTGTATTTCATACATACAGCATTACTCACTCTTTAACCTATATAATGTCTCTAATTTTCTGTGTTAGCGCATGTAACTAGACTGTGACGTAATTATGAAAAGAAATTGGGTTGGAGGGTTTCGAATTGTTCGTAATGTCAACGAAAGTTCACTGATCTTTGCTGGCTTTATAAATTGTAGGTTACTTTTTATCTAAGTAACTGCGATAGTGTTAATCACACATTAGGCTCGTGTACCTTAATATATTCTTTAAATATACTTCCATAAGAATATAAATGGAAAATCGCCTATACATGTTTACTATGACATGCCTATATAAATAATGATAACGCTTTGATAGCCTCTTCTGCATTCTAAGCATGCATTGGATGCAATAGATTTTAGGACATATCTAATTAAACTGTTACGCGTTTCTTAGTTGGTAGAATTTTCAAATAATTTTTAGTAATTTAGCGTAAAAATTGGACAATGTAAGCTCTACGAAAGCATGACGAAGTTTTGTGAACCATTATTTACGAAAGCATATTATAGTAATACTTAGTAAAATGAATACATAAAATAGATATGTTCTATTATTTTAAGGTCTAATAATTAATAAAACCTACTTAAGTTTTTATTAAATATTTTTAAAAGTCCACACCGATTGTTGTGATTGGGTATTATCGATGTGTATACGTATTTTTCCGTGCGGATAATAGGTTTGGCTGACTGCAACGTAAGATTTCATTTAATTTATTTGTTAAAATATTGTAATATGTATTGATAGAAAAATTATGCATCCAAATACCACATTTTAAATATGCAATAATTGTTGATAATAGGCTAGATAGTAGATAACTTATGACTCACGACCATAAAAATTAAAAACATTAACAATTTAAAATCGTAATCCAAGGGACTCTTAATAGCCAGTAGGATTAAAAAACACCCGGCTTAATTTTTGAACTACATATTTTAAAATACAGTACAGCTATTTAAATTATAAACGCCTTCTAGTCCCTGACCCGAGGTGACCAATGTTGTCGGTATTGAATAATTGAGGAACTCGGGCGCATTATCCGCTGCTACTAACATCCTGTAGGCCAATCAGTATGACATGTTACAGTTTAAATAAATTGTTATTTGTTACTATTATTTTATTACTTACTAGCGACTCAGCGACCCTAACTTCGCTCGGGTTCGTCCCTAGCTTGCTTCCCAATACAAACTTTCATCCCCATTTTCACCCCCTTAAGGGAAGATTTCCGGGATAAAAAGTATCCTATGTCCTTCCCAGGGTCTCAAACTATCTTCTTACCAAATTTCATGTAAATGGATTCTGTAGATCCAGAGATTACCTCCTACAACGTCACAAACTCTCGATTCACAATCTCACAAACTATACCTCTTTATAATATCTATTAGTATACCTAGATAAGTTATACTCATTTCCACGAACTTATCATACTAAAGTTAGAATTAAGAATCCCTTAAGGCAAATATCTACATTTTAGAAACCCTAGTACAGTGATCGGTTTTTTATTGACGTAGCTTTTTCCGGAACCGAGCTTTTGTTACTATACATTAATTATTTTCGTAATTTATAAAAAAAACTAGGAGATATTTATGAGGGGATACTAAAATATAAAAAAATAATAAAAAAGGCACATACACAGACATACATACATAGACATATATGTATGTCTCCGACTGCATAATACTATATTCCTTCGTGAACTTGTTTTCATCTTTTTAGTTAGCTTTTATGCTGTCGGGGTTTTTATTTTTATAATACATTTATTTATTTACAGGTTTTTAAGATTTTTAAGTAGGAAAATTAGCGAGAATGGTTGTTAACCAACTTTAAATTATTATATATCCTAAACGGTTATTTAAAATGAAAAATAAGGAAAGAAACCTAAAAATGATTTTTAAATACCTATTCAACGATAACCCACTTGACATAGTTCGTTGACTTTCATTTTTTTCTTTTTCCAAATTTTTATACTGTCTATCCCATTCGCGCCGTCGTCATGACGAATCAAACGACGAATCATTAAAAATCGGCCCACAGTGCTCCAAAGGTACAAACCCACATACATACATATATATATAGGCTGATAAACATTGCCCTCCTTTTCTTCGCGCAGTCGGGTAAATATTACACTATCAGATAGGTACTTCATTTCTTTTTTATAATTACGATATATTATGTTACAACCATTATTTGTTTATTAATGTCAAGATATGAGATAAAGAGCTAAGCCCGCCATGAGTGACATCGCCATACTCTTGTTATCAAATAAATATGTACATGTAACTGTAATTATTATGATGTGTAAAGAAATTTAATATTTCAAGTCGTTCTTATTTTATTTTTATAGCGCAACGTTTATTTTCCAGCTAGCAATACCAATAAAAATTGGAAGTACTTACCTATTCAAATTCGATTATTTTATTTGACGAAAATTTATCTCAGCTCGGATTAAAATCTTATGTATATACCTATTTTAATAAATTACTTAATAAGATAATTTCAAATCTTAGGTATAAATTAAAATTTATATTTTCAATGTTGTTTATCGATTTTCCAATACCCACTTCATAATTTTCTTTAAGATTTTGCTTAGTATCCATTCATGAAAGCAGTTAATTTCATTTTCGCTAATCATCTAAGCGTATAATTATTACAATTGTATATGGTCATACTTTTAAAAAAGAATTAAAAACTCACGTTTGTCAAATGTATCGCAATAAAATATAAAGGAGCTCGTGCGTTTCAAAACTATAAATATTACGAAAGCATTGTTATGAGTTCAAGACAATAACATCATTAACTATTTGAATACCATTGCATGTTCACAAAAATAAATGTTCATACATATCTAATCTGTTTTGTTTTAATTTAGTTCTCTGATATAAAGATAACTATTTGTTGACAGTTTTCTATGACGCAATTTCTTGTATTGAGTTCGTTACACATACGTGATACATACATGTAAGTAGGTACCTACTTACTACTTATACATGCTTATTAATTAACTAGCATATTGCACGCGGCTCCGCACGCGCAGATGACCAAAAACCAAATTCTTAGGTTTTACATATTAGTATATTCTTATATTGCAGTTTTTGTATTTTTTTTCTCAGAAATGAGACAATCTCCCGCGGTAAAAAGTATCCTATATGTTGACCCGGTTAACCAACTATCACCATACCAAATTTCATCAAAATCCCTCCAATGGTTTTTCTGTGATGCGGTAACAGACAGACAGACAGACAGACAGACAAAAATTCTAAAAACTATAGATTCGGCCTCTGTGTTGATAATAATGTTTATTTCAATAAGATTTTCAAAAAATATTTAATGTATTTACAGATTCGACTTAGTTAGAATTTTATTATATGTATAGATTAATTCTACGGTCTACCTATACCTAATCATTAACATGTAAATGTTATTTCTTTTTAAATAGAACTGAGGCTAAAAGAATAAGAAACAAATAAGTATAAAAGATTTTTGTAATGTATAATGATTTAGTTTTTGACCGAATACTACGACGTAATACTCATACTTGGAGTTGTCTTGAAATGAATTGAGTCTTGGTATATTAAGTATAGCTTTTATTTTAATAATCTACTATTTTTGAAGGAAGCTGACTTTATATTCGGTCACAACTAATTGTGTAGGTAATTAATAAGTTGTTATAAAGAAACTATAAATTTTTACCTGTATTTATCATCCAAACAAATAATTTTAGGTATATTTTTTTGTATTACTATTTAAGTAACACCGAAGACATACACACAGAATACATAGATATTAACCATTCCTTGAGCTTCGCTGCAGTCTGGTAGTAAATAATAATAGTACTAACGAAGCACATAATATGACGTTAATTTCAATGTTTAAAACAATTTACATAGTAGGTAAGTAGATAATAAGTACATATTAAAGTTACGAAAGTGCATGTTATAAAGTTCTTTTTAAAAGACAATAAGAACTGTTTGGTATGGTATTTTTATAGCGGCCAGTTGCTTGCAGATGGATGGTGCAAGTCGACCATTGTGAGCGAACAATGGGGAAAGCATCAGAACATGGTCGACGTTGGAGCCATTAAATATTAGTTTTTTTTTCTTTTTTGTATTCCTACCTAAAACTATGTAGGAGTATCATACGATACTCTTGTCAAGAAATAAATAAATACATTTATTCATTTATAACTTGTACGAGTACCTTTCATAATGTGTACCTTTTTAATTATCTTATCCTGAAAATTTAGGCCATGGTTCTTTTGTAGAAATGACTTTGTGTACCTACGGCATAAACGGGCTGGCTTTGCTGACGATGATAAAAATATGATAATAGTTTTATCAGAAAATTTAAAGTCTACAAAAATTGAAAATTTAGATGTTTAAATGTAAGTATATAAGCCGCATGTTTCTTTCGCATCTCTTATGAGCTTAGAATAGAATAAACCTAGTAACTTTAAAGGTCCAAAAACTACGTTGGTTTAATCTGATTTACTAAAAGTTTTTTAATTGTGTGTTTCAATTGTTATATATTTATTTCAAATTCAAAACGTAATATAGCTATAATTTCACTCAATCGAGAAAGCCATATGTACCCATAGCTTGAGCGTTTTATTCTACAGAATATACTACTTAATATAATTATAGAAGACAAAGCTAATCGCATCGTCATCATCAAGCTCAAACGCTTGTATCAGCAATTACGTAATAAAAGGTTCCATGGAAACGTATTAAATGTTAAACTTCATTGGTTATTTATATTTCAAATCGTAAGATTAATAAATTAATAAAAAAGAATTACACTCATATGAATAATATTTTATCTCTTTCTATCTGGCTGGAATCTTACATCCATATTGATATATCGTATAAAGGCACTCTAAGGGACTAATCCGAGCGAAGCGACGGTGAGCCGCTAGTCTATACTAATATTATAAAGAGGTAAAGTTTGTGAGTTTCTGAGATTGTTAGTTTGTGACGTTGTAGAGGGTAATCTCTGGATCTACTGAACCGATTTAGATGAAATTTGATAGGAAGATAGTTTTAGACCCTGGGAAGGACATAGGATACTTTTTATCCCGGAAATCATCCCTTAAGAGGGTGAAAATGGGACGAACCCGAGCGAAGCGAGGTGAGTCGCTAGTTATAAATATTTCACATATATTTTTAAAACAAATTAGTAAAAATAGTAATTTTTGAAGATGACAATGAATAGAATATCATAATATGTACCTATCATTTTCCAGAAAATAACAACGGTTACTATGGCAACCTAATGCAAGCAGTTACTATGGCAACCATGACAGTTTTTCGTGATGATTTCTTGTGGCGCAACTTTGAAATTTTACTCTCATGCGCATGGGCAAAGAAGTTTCACTTCAATAAATATAAAGAAAATTTTATTTTTACCATATTATTGTTATATATGCCTGTTTCGTGACTCCAAAAATTCGTGGACTCTACACGATTGTCATTGTCCCATAAACTATTGTTCATTTCGAGACAAATTTATTCGCATAGGTATGTAAACTTTGAACGGTGTAATCAGGAAGCATTACACGCGTTGTTATCAAAGTAATGTCGTAAAACTTACCAAATACCTAAGTAACATTACCTACGTCGGTATAGTTTTGTAATGTTAGGTAAGTTATCTTTATTATCTGTAAGTACCTAACTACACAATATGCAAGAATATTGTGATATTTTTAGAGTAATTGATCTATAATTTAAATATATATATATATATATATATATATATATATATATATATATATATATATATACTAACTTTACTTGTGTATATATATATATATATATATATATATATATATATATATATATATATATATATACACAAGTAAAGTTTTTATTATTTTTAAATATTGCGCCGCAAACCTCATATCTATTTTGGATGTATTTTTATCATTCTGGTGATTTTCTCAAACTAAGAAAATGGTACAGAACTAAAAAAATTAAATTATTGATTACTAGCGGCTCACCCAAGCTTCGCTCTGGTTCGCCTCTACGAAAACAAAAACAAATTAACCTAACCTATCCCACGGGAATCGTACATTTTTCTGGGAAAAAAGTAGCCTATGTGTTATTACAGACTATATCTATCTCTGTGCTAAATTTCATCCAGATCCGTTCAACCGTTCTGGCGTGAAAGAGTAACAAACATCCGTACTCACAAACTTTAACATTTATAATATTTATATACAGATAGGTACGCTTAATATACAATCTATATTTTACGTTACGAATACAATTTTAAAAAGAAACCTAGTATAAATTTCAGCTAAAAGTAGAATTTTATAGTTAATAAAGGAAGATTTTATATCTCTCTTATTATCTCTAGATGACATCAGGAAGTTATGAAATAAAACTAGACGCTTGTGAATTTAAGCCGATTACATGCAGATGTAACCAAATAGTAAAAACGTACTAAAGTATCAATTTAACATGTGGTCTCTTTTTTGTTTCCATCTTTAGTGTATTTCAACAAAGTCGTGATCTTTTTATAGTTACCAAGAACACAAAATAGAACATGTGGTTTACCAACATAAGTAAGCTGCACCTATTCTGTAAACTCATTTACGTCCGATTTTATTATTCATGCGTCTGGTATGCTTTACGATGTTCCCCTTGGCACAGCTATAAATAACTATTTCAAAGTTAAGCTTTAAACCTTCTTTTGAACTGCTTATTTAACCTTTGCAACTTAGCATATTTTTCATTATAGATATTAGACCTATTTGCGTAATACATATTTTGTTTCAAAAAGAAATAAGTAGGTATATTATCATCATTTCTTTAAAAAAAACTGAAATTACTGAGAAATATCCTCGTCTTCGTAAAAAAGGACCAAATAAAAAATATTAAATAAGTACCTATATAAAAAAGATTATTATTCATTTCCTATAATATAATAAAAGTATCAATTTTCATACTATTATAATTTACAATAGGTAATAGGGTGATTTGACGACACAATGTGTATTGTGTATTTAATAATTACTAAAATATTATACCTTCGTCTCTAGCTCTACATCGTTGATGTCTTTTTAATAGTAGTCACACTTTGATAGTAAAGACTTCAACGAATTGATTTAAAAAAAATATTTAATTGCGCAATTATATATAATTCTTAATAAGACATAGATAAGTAGCTTTAAGCGTAACGTTCCATAAGTATATATTTTAATAAAGTTTGGCAAAATTTAGAACAAAAGATGTATGTATGTAAATGTATTTTTGTGTTTCTTATTATAATTAGAAACAATTGGTTATTAGTTTGTGATGTACTGTGTTATAAGTAACACTAACGCGCTGTTGTCTAAATATTATTTAAATTTACAGAAATTTTAAACAAATAGGTCTAAATAATTGTCTAACAAACAACAATAATCGATTACTTAGAGATACTAGCAAACATCTACAATTCAAGGTCCATTGTAATTAAATAGCACTTGATTTGTTCTGCATTAAGTATTTGCCTTCCCGTAAGATGTAATTAGGCACGTGATGTGTCTGCAGGCTAATTTAGTCAAGCTCTATTATATTATTTCTGTTCAACATTCAAGCAACTTCCAGTGCAGCTGCGATGTGAAAAAGCGTAAATAAATTCCTACCAATCAGAAAGCAATGCTGCATTAGCAGCGTTGCTTTATTTAGCGTGTATTGTTAGAATCTCCAATAGTTAGTCTTTATTTTACGTGATTGTATTATGTGTAATCCGAATATACGTAAAAAGAAAAATTGAAATGAATATAACGTATTCTTAAACACAGAGAATATGGGGAAATACGAAAAATTAATATTATGAAATATGCTTGCTTTAAGCTAATTTAATAACTATATTTTAAACTAGATGTCACCACTTGTATTTGGAGTCGTCACATAAATTCGTCACAGTTTTCTTTTGACACCTCGTCTTGTAGTGAACTGTGAAGTCATGTAGTGAATGAATTTCATAAAAATAGTTTTGTGTTTTGTGCGAAACGAGCTCAGGTCGATAAATAAAATGTTATAAAGCGTGAAATATTTATACAGTGTTTTAAAATTTATGAAAATGAATATCGAGGTTGTTTTGTTATTGATCCGTAGTCCATTGTTAGAAGATCGCACAAGGTAAATCGTCTGTTTGTTTAAGACAAAAGGCAGAGGTTTCGTCCTTCACATATTAGAGCATCGTTATCAATGCACGTAACCGATCGGTTTAGTTAGAGGTGATTATTGAAGTAACTAAACAGTGCATGTAAGTACTTACGCCGAGAGCACGTCATTTGTAAAATCACAAGCAGACGTATCTTTAAATATTACTAATTTTGTATACTCTACGCTGGTGGTGGTCTCTTTCGCTTTCTGCTCCAAACTTTTAAAAGTTATCAGGTAACTCGACAAGCTTACTAATGGGTGATATCATTTAATAGTATTCATTATGGCTAATGTAAGGAATAAAATTAACTCGCACAAAACTTCATCTAGAGCTAAAAGGAATACTAAAATTGATAAACTCAAAACATTATTAATAGGTTTTGACAATGATAAGATTACAGAGTTGGTTATGAGAGATCAAACATCTTCACAATCAGATGACACCATAGAACTTGCTGAAAATATAAAAGACAAAGAACAAGATACAGTGCTTTTTAAGGATTCAATAATTAAAAGAGAAATTAAACTCACAAAGGATAGACTGTTGACAAGGCATGGACATCTCAAGCATAAAAACAAAGATAATTTGAAGCTATGCAATAATATATTGAAAAATGAATTGTTAATTTTTGACAAGAAAGAAAAACCAAGCCAGTTATCTCAAAACAATATAAACAACAATAATCCAGTTACAAGTGACCAAAATAAAAGGAAAACAGATAAAGAAATTGAAAATAATGATCAAGGTAAAAGAAGGAGTTTAAGGGAAAGTGAAAAAAGTGATCAAAGTAACAGCTCATCACCGATTAAAAGAAAGTCTGATGATGGTTCGAAAAATAAACAAAGTAAATTAAAGAAGAAAAAAGATGATATAATACTTAATTCAGATTCTTTACTGGATTTTCCCCAACTGAAAAGGATAAGAATAACGAAGAAAGGACTTTATATTTGTGATTATTGCGATAAGAAATTTGATACTAAATGCTCTATTAGACGTCATATGTACATACATATATCCCGCAAGAAGTTTCCTTGCAGTCAATGTAATAGCGTTTTCCGAAAATCAATATATTTGCAAGCTCACATCACAAGACAACATCCTAACTGGGATCAACACTATATGTGCCATTTATGTGATAAACCCTTTCTTCTGAAAGAAAATTTAATTGTACACATGACTACTCACAATTATTCTGACACTAAATTCAAATGCTTTTACTGTAGAGAAAAATTTACCCAACAACACAAACTAATTGAACATGAAAAGACTCATTTGGTCAGTGGACGGTATGATTGTATAGTTTGTGAACAGAGCTTTGATTGTAGGAATAAGTTATCATTGCATTTCAAGACACATTTAAAAGTGAAAGATTACATTTGTCAACATTGTGGTAAAGAATTTCTACGGCTGAATTCTATGAGACGTCATGTACAGATTTCCCATGCTGGTATAAGAATTCAGTGTCCAATATGTAAAAAGGTGCTTAAAGGTCATCTATCGGAGCACATGCGCACGCACGAAAAAAAGCGTCCTCACAAATGCCCAGACTGCGGACAATGCTTTACTCAATCTACTCAGCTAACAGTCCACAGGAGATCTCATTCTGGAGCACGACCATATCCTTGCCGAATATGCAATAGGCCATTTACTCACTCCAATGCTCTTATGTTACATATTCGTCGACACACTGGAGAGAAACCTTTCGAATGTGCTATGTGCCCTTTATCATTTTCACAATTACCTCATATGAAGGCTCATATGCGGAAAATTCACGGTAAAGAAAACCCTTACAGATGTAAAAAATGTAAGCAATTTTTCAAATTAAAGAACGAACTTGAAAATCATGCAAAAAAATGCAAAGTAGGGGAAAAGGAATTGTCATCTAAGGAGGAAATACAGGCATCATTGCAAGCTGAAGAGGAGGAAGTGGAGGAGCCTCCCATGAGCTTAAGTCGAATGAGATTCCTATTGGCACTACTTCTCACTATGATTGCTACTAAAGAAAAACTCAAATATTTAGGTGCGTAAAATTTTTAATTAATTATACACAGATAAAAATGCACTCATATTTTATTCTTTTTAAATGGTGTGAATTATTTGGCTTTCTGTGTGTGCGCCCTATAATATGAGTCCGTTTTGAAAATCCTATAAAACATTCCATTACATTTATCATACAAATAAAAGAACTTTTTGCCACATGAGACACTACTCATGTAAACAAAAATAAACCCTATGTAATAGACATCAACGGGAACACCGCCATTTTTCATTCATTGACTTTTGGACACATATAACAAATATTTTATGTAAGTAATGTTTTATGCACAGTCATTGTATTCCCAATGTTTTAAACTCATTAAAATGCAGGTACATAAAAAAACATTGGTCACCGCCGTCTTTCCTCATGATTTGCAATTATTTCGTTCGTGTGTTGTGTGCTGATTGTGCTTTTGTGCAGTACTGCGTCGACTACTTGTTCGCACCACCTACCATAGCGAACAATGACCATTTACGATTTTATTTTAGCGAGCATTAAAACTATTATATAACGAGGAAATCCAGTCGTCAGGCCGGATGTTGTTGGGTAATATATTTATGAGTGAGTTCATTTACCATTTCGTTTATAATTCTGGTGCTGGTTGGTGAAGGGCTTGAATGCGAAGTCATGACCGCAATAAAAAAAACGGTCTATACATGCTATTGTTAGGTTGTGACTTGCTTTTTGGAAATTGAATTGACTATGTTTATAGTTAAGTGGTTAGGGTATTATTTAAGGTGATGGAAATGCCATGATAATACATAATTCTTGTATAAATATGTGCATTTAAAGCAAATGTTTTGCAAATATATTATTTAGAACTGCAAAATAGATTATGATAATAATTTAATTTTAATTCCTTTTGTATATATTTATCCTTCACAGGTATATAATTTTTTTATATATAAATTTTAATTTATTTTATGACAGGTTTCAACAAACGTTTAATAGATGATTTACTTGTGGAGTCACTTGAAGCTATGGGTCATGTCCCTTGTAAAAATGAATCCCTGGCTCCTTTAAAACGATTGAAGAAGAATATTGAAATATTGTTAAATGGAACAGTACCGAAGGAGAAGATGAAAAAATTTCGAAAAGAAAACAAGAGCACAGAAGATATATTAGAGCTTCTTACAGATGAAAAAAAATAAGAAGGTAAAAAAGTAAATATTAATTAATAATATATAGTAAATTATAAAAACAGTTGTGTGAATTATAAATTACAAATAATAAAGTCTTATAGATACAAATTACAATTATGCAAATACAATTCATAAATTTAAAAAGAAAATAGGTCAGTAGTAATGGTGAAATAAATATTGTGATGTGGTGTGATTTGTGAAGAGCGTCAGTTATTCTGTCAATAATTTAATTTGGTCATAAACATCACATATTGTAAAAATACTAACTATTATATCCATCTTTCGTAATAAGAACCTAGGAATACTTACAGTATTTCATGTTATATTGGTTTAATCTATGTAGTTATCTTAATTAGTGAGGTGTTCTAAGACAAAGCGAAAATAAGACTTGCCATTTAAACAAAAAGTGATGATTCCAAAGCTTGTTATTTATTAAATTTTAATTCTATCATATTTATTTTAGGTTATTTGTTTTTAATTATTATATTTATAATTAATATTAATGATTGATTTGGTTGAGTTCGGATTTCTGGTTTAAACCAAATTCATAATTTAAGTTATTCTAATTTTGACAGTTGTAATAAGTTACTGGAATATAACTTTTATTTTCTTTGACATATGACTTACTTTTGTATGGATGGATATGAATGTTTAAAAGCTTAAAAATACATTGCCAATGTCTAAGGCAATAATAAAAACTAGTAAAATTAGTAAGTCTCAAGCTATTGCTTTATCATTTTGAAACAAGTTAAATGTATATTTGTGCCATTCTTGTTTTATGTAACATGTGATTGGACATTAATTTATTTTACAAAATTTTCTTAAATGTTCAATAAAATTTTATTTGATATATAATATAGGTTTTATACAATTATGTTGAAATATTATTAAGCCATTTTGTTTAAGAAATAGCTTTGATTTTTTTTAACTCCCAGTGCCATTTTTTGTTTGTTTGCATATTATAATTAGAAGTTGTAAGATGTATATATGTGTGTGCGATAGATTGGCAATATTTTCTAATTATTATGTCAAAATGATATTTAAGCATATCAATGAATGTTGTAGGCTTATAGGTACTTGATAAGAATTATATAATTTCTCAAATAATAATAGTTGAGATGTTGCTTCAAGTATCTGTATCTTGTTGGAGAAGCAATTTAATTAAATTAGAATGTTGCTAGAATAAAATAAACAATTATATGTAGCAATTTCGAGCATAGTTTGTGCATATATTATTGTTAGTCTACACTCTACAGTGTTAGTTTCATCTCATGGTTTTAATTCTTAAACTAAATTTTTAATGTTTAATCTCCATTTTAACATTTTCAACCATATTATAATTTCATTTTGAAATTATATGAAACCTTTTGTTGTCATGGTTGAAATGCTAATCAAACCAAGTGAATTGTTTAAATATATATATTTAAAAATACGTATGTCGTACACCCAAACTTGTCCATTTTTAAGTCACCAAAAAAAAACAAGATATAAAGAATGTGATAATGAGAGTATATAAATCCTAAGTAGGTACTTGTCATTTATAGAAAAATTATTCTGTAAAAATAAATCAATATATTAATTAAATTATATTCAGATAAAAAATATGTATAAATTATAATTAAATATGCAACTGAAGTTTAAAATGCCTGATAAATTAAAGTTTAAAATCTTGATTAGCATCTGAACCATTTCAAACTATTATGTTGTGCATGCATTATTCATATTACTGTATGATGCCATTTTAATATTAATTAAGTAATGTTCATACCATGAATATTTTATTTGTAATGGAAATATTAATGTTTTTTCATGTCTAGTTATTTATATGATATGCTATAGATATAAAACATTTTGTAGAAGTTTAGTTCTTGCCAACATTTTTATCTTTTTTACAAAGTATGTAGCCAAAGAAATATTGGGTTTTTTTCTCGGTTCGAGAATTTGGTTTTGCTATAATATGTATATATATTTTAATATTAAGAAAAAATCTAATACAATACATATTTTGTTATAAGTATTTTAGGGCATATTTTAACCGGCTTAAATTACCAAAGAGAAGTTAAAATAGATCAATAAATGTTTTAATGTAAAATGTGTTTGTCTTTAATGTTTGACTATATTAATAGAACTTTTTATTGTAAATTAGTAAAACTAAAAGTAGCGACTCACCCTCGCTTCGCTCGGGTTTGTCCCCAGGTACGTTTTATTTTTTTTTGAGCGGAACCCTAATTCTTTTTCTAAAATAAAACTAGCCTATGTTACTCCCTATAACATCAGCTATCTCCCAGTGAAAGTCCCGTCAAAATCAGTCCAGCCGTTTCAGAGATTATCCGGAACAGACAAAAATTTAAAAAATTGTGTTTTTCTTGTAAGTACCATATATAATTTCATATGCATTTAGCCGTTTAGCCGTAAAACGCCGTTATTTTAACATTACAAACAGACATTTCAATTTTATTTATCTGTATATATGATGTTAATGATAGCTGTGTTTGATATTAAGATTACATTTAGTAAAAGAAAACCTAATCCAAATAAATATCTAAAAAATCCATCTCATAAAATCTATAGTCATAACTTCGTACTTTGTATACTTACTTTTATAGTAATGATATTAGACATTGCCTATTAATATTATAATAAATTTAATTTGGGCCATAAAAAGGTGCTCAAATGTTTCAAGATACAACAATTGTGGTTTAACTGATATTTTCCATAGCTTTGTTGATAAGTAATTTAATAATAGAAATACAAAACCGCTTTAAATAGTAGAAATTTAATAAATTTTGAAATACTTTATACATTTACTACGAAATGGGGAAGATTTCTCGAAAGGAGGGCGCCACCCGTATGGCCTATTTACATTCAGTCTAAGCTCTGAGGTTAAGCAATTTATTAAGATATCTCTTTTGTTCCTGATTTTTTGCTTCTATTGTGTTCCGCATTCTACCTGTGCAATGTATTGTAACTGGAAGTTAGACCAGCTGAAGGAAGAATTGAGAAGGACAAGGAGAGGTGCATCCTGGCTGACTGATGGTCTCGTAGAAACGTTAAATTTAAAGGACGTATTCCTTGTATGATAAAGGCATCCGGTAAAACAGAAGTTTTTCGAATTTAATCCCCTCAGTGGGTAAAATAGGGGATTAAAAATTGTATGAAACTCTGTCATTTTTAATGTGAAATACACAGAAAAAATAATAAAAAAATATAAAAGATGGTAAAAAAAATTGTTTGGGCAAAGAATTATTTATGATCAGAATCACTTGAAAATTGGTATTAATGTTCTTCTATACAATTAAATAAATACATGTCTTAGCATTTTTCAAAATTCAATCCCATAAAGGGGTAAAATGGGGAAGAAATTATATACAGTATGAAAATCTATAATTAATATGTACAAAAGTACGAAAACTAAAAAAAATATTCACCTGTAGACGATTAATAGTTTTAAAATCACTTTCTTTAAAATGATGTCCACATAGCCTTAAATATGAAGATTGTGATTTCGCAAATTTTGGTCGTTTTATTACTTTAGTCCAAAATTTCTTCAGTTTTTGTCTTTTGGGAAAAACCTTTTCTTTGCATCCTGGCACAGTACAATTTTTCATTATAATTAAATTTTAGATAAAATGAAAAATAAAATCCATCTACGTTATAGAGCTTTACAATATACTGAGGGCTATTGTGATCGCGACATCTGACGTGAGAAAAAGGCAAAATTCTTTCCCAAAACGTAATAAGTTTGTTTATGACCACGTACAAGGAATGTCAAATCTGACATTAATCTTGTGAACAAGTAAAATACAAAACTAAAAAAGACTACTGAGTAGGTATTGTCAATTGTCATAAATCATAACAATACGTCGACATGCCGAGTGTGATACATTGCAAACGTATCAATTTTACGAAAAATATTTGTACACAATAGAAAACCACCACCATGGGTACTACAGGTCAATCTATTACGCTTGCCAACAGTATTATCGGAGTTGGCGTACTTGCTATGCCCTTTTGTTTTCAACAAGTAAGTTCATTTTTTGTTATAAATTAATAACCTTGCAAGTAGAAGAGATCTATTCGAAACCAGATTTAAATAAAAAAATACAAAAGAATATTGTTTTTCATATATACCGCATATAAGTTGAGCGACAATTTTGTATACATACGACTTTAATTTATTTACTATTGTGAAAATAATAATTAAGATTTATTGACATATAAATTGCTTTTTTAGTGTGGTGTACTACTAGCTACATTAATTTTAATTTCTATGGGCTTAGTATCAAGATTATGTTGTTATTTTCTCTTGAAGTCTGCAATTATTACTAGAAGAAGAAACTATGAATTTCTTGGTAAGTTTATTTATATTATTAATTAACTACTATTTAAACATTAATTGTTAAAGTAATAATTAGTAGATTTTATTGAGAATTTTACACCCAAAAAAATTGTCTCATTGATTTAGTGTTTATATTTACAATATTTGTCACTTTTTCTTTATTGAATAATTATATTCTGACCATTAAAGCTTACTATTTCCTTAACCATGAGAATTCTTACCATATATTACACATCATTGTTTCCAAAGTATTTCTTGTTTTTTAGCATTCCATATATTTGGACCAGCTGGGAAAATGGCAGTTGAATTGGGCATTATAGGTTTTTTAATGGGCACATGCATAGCCTACTTTGTAGTTGTTGGAGATCTTGGTCCTCAAATTATTGCAAAAATGTTAAATATTAACCAAAGTGATATTTTAAGGTAAGATTAAATTATATTACTCTTACAATTATTTTTATTTTTTTTGTATTCATAGGATAATTTTTTTTAGAAATGAAGGGATCTGTAATACATATAGTTTTTTTTTCACTTACAGAACATCTATAATGGTGATAGTATCCCTAGTTTGTGTGTTACCACTAGGTTTACTGCGGAATGTTGACAGCCTTAGTAATGTCAGTGCTGCAACTATTGCATTTTATTTTTGTTTAGTTATAAAAGTGAGTACCTTTTGTTTATGTTACCTTACCACTATTCTTTAATCCCAAAGTAAAGCTATAAATCTTTACCATTATTAAAATAAATCTTTGCTTATAGTATCAATAGAGTTGTTTCCAAACATTCATTGTATAACAAGTCTAAACTGTCATAGTCACATATAATATCAATATGATAGGTTGACCTAGACTCAAATTTATGACTAAATCTGTGCCACTAGATTTAAAAAAAATCCTAGCAAGAAATTATTGTCTTTATACTTTGTATTTTCCCACTAGACTGCTTATAAGTTTATATACTAGAAAAATGACAAATATTTAATAAAATAATTTCAATCTGTAAAATTTTTTTTTTTGTAATTTTTATTTTATTGAAAGTTGGTTTAAAGTAAGGGTTGTCCAAAATAAACAATCAATTTATCATTTTTTATTCATTATTTTAATAAAACTGTCACATCATGTTTACCCTGGCACAGCTTCCATTATTGCTCTGTCTAAACACCTTCCTTACACAATTAAGTGTGTGTTATGCCTAAGAGATATCAAGGCAGTTTGGTAGTTATAAATAAATATTCAAAATCAAAGTTATATTTTTATTCAGTATTAAATATTTATAATATTTTTCTGAACCTTATGGTCTACCATCACTTTAGAGATATCTGAATCTTAAAGGTGAATATCTAAATATATTTACAGGTGATAGCCGAAGCAACCACACAATTATTCGCAGGGGACTGGACATCTCGTATAGAGATGTGGAAGCCGGCCGGCGTACTGCAATGTGTGCCAATATTCTCTATGGCACTGTTCTGTCAGACGTTAGTTGTTTCTATTTTGTCTATAGATTTAAGTTTTTTATTTAATTTAAAAAGAACTCAATTTATTTGCCAATATTTTCCATGAACCTGTTCTGTCAAACATTAGTTGTTTTGATTTTGTCAATGGATTTATTTATTTTTAATTGAAATGTTTAAAGTAGTCTCATTTTATTAACATTTCTAGTTTGCTAACTAGAAACAAAAGTTCATATCGAAATTTAACGTGTTAATATTTAAATTTAATTTTTCCATAATACCCTTATTTAATAACTAAGTAACTAACTCATCTGTAATTATATTTTTTTTTCTAGGCAGTTGTTTGAAATTTTCGAGTCTTTACCAACGTTATCTTTAGAGAAGATGTGCTTAGTCACTAAAAACGCCATTAATATCTGTTCAGGCGTATACTTTACGCTTGGCGTGTTTGGTTACATAGCGTTTGGATCACAAGAGATTTCAGGTAATATTAATTTTCTTTTTGTTTTGAAGGTGATCACCATTTTTCATTAGTGAATCATTTAATACTAGCAACTTTCTTATGTTTCATAGGTGCTGCTAGGTAGTCTATGAAGTATATCTTCATATTAAGATAAAAAAAAATATACATATATACTACAAATAAATTGTAAGATGGTGCTTGTAAGAAAATTTTTTTTGAAGTGTTTGTCTAGCTGCCTGTTTGTTTGTTCCTGCAATAATATGCGCGTACCTATCGCTAGTAATAAATATATATAAAATTGTTTTCCAAAACACAGGTAACGTTCTCACTTCATTAAGTCCGACACTCGCCAGTGATGTCATAAAGCTGGGTTTCGTGATGTCTCTGGCGCTGAGCTTCCCGCTCATTATCTTCCCGTGTCGAGCCTCGCTATACTCATTCCTGTACAGACGGGTGAGTGTTATATATATATATATATATATATATATATATATATATATATACATACATACGGGAATAATAATAATAACTAGAGTTCGCCGAGTGCTCGAACTTCGACCGTAATTATTATTGTTTTTTTTATTTGTAAAACCAAAGCTCGTCAATAGCCATTAAACTAAAACAAAAAATAAACAGATCGGTTCACAAACAAAATGTTTATTTTAATTAATTTAATGTATTTTATATAAAAATATTAGCTTTCTACACTATATCTCCATATAAACTTTAGCTCTTTAACTGTGTCAAACACATAATTCTAGAGTATAGGTATATGCGTGTGTGTGTGTCAAATACATGGTAGTGTGTGTAATGTTTTTTATATTGATTTAATGTATTTTTTATACATAATTTTTAAAAAATATAAGCATTCTGCACTCCTTCTCTATATAAACTATAAGCGTGGGAAATTTCATACTCCTCCGTCCGTGCAATTTTCGTAAATAGGGGTACAAAGTTTTTGCTTTTAATTTTTTTTGTGAAAACAACTTTAAGTGTTGCATTTAAGGTTCAATTTACATTGTTGTATATTTATTTCAATTAGAATAATTACCTAAACAAAATTGGTGTCAGTTTTAAGAGAACTATTGCATGGGATTGTGTATCTAGTAATTTTTTTATCGATGTTTTGAAGAGTTTCATTATATTGTTTGTTAGTTACAAGTGAAGCAAATAAAAAGCGTTTTAAAAATATTATTATTAAAGGGCTAGTAATAAATGTTGTTCTATAAATATTTTAAGGCTCATCCATCCCACGAACACGCAAACGCCTACAGCGGTCACACGAGCAATTCCGCGATCCCAACGGGCGCCTTCCGCTCCCTAACCCTCGGGATCGTGGGATTGGCGCTGGGCGTGGGATTGCTTTTGCCCACTGTGGAGCTAGTGCTGGGACTGCTGGGTGCTACTGTGGGCGTGCTGGTGTGTATAGTGCTACCTGCTGCAGCGTTTTTGAGAGTGGTGGGAAGGGACCATCATGAGCGAACGTTGGCTAAGGTAGGAATGTATAAATAACCTTTTTCTTCTATCTAGCCAGTCTCTGAAGGGACAAATAAATAAATAATAAATAAATATGTTGGGACATTAACACACAGCACCATCTAGTTCCATGGAAAGCTATGAGGCTTGTGTTATGGATACCAGATAGTTGATACACTAAACATATATAACTTTAAATACATACATATTATATATATACCAACTTGGTAATTAAACTTGGCTCGGAGCCAGGATTCGAACCCAGGACTTCAGGATCTGCAGCAGTAGATGCTAGCCACTAGATCACCTCAAGTGCCAATGGCACGTAATTCAAATCAAAATATACTTTATATAAATAGACTTTTATAAGCACTTTTGAATCGTCAATTTATTTAGAAAATTTAAAATCAGCATGTACTATGTACATTAGTCCGTAAGGAATGTACCCCTAGGGGAAAAAATATTTATAAATAATTATGGCCATCGATCATAAAAGTACTAAATACACAATCCCAGGCAAATGTTCTCTTAAAACTGTCACCAAATGTGTTAAGATAATTATTCTAGTTGAAATAAATATACAAAACCTTAAATGCAAAAAGCATGCTTAAAGTTGTTTTCACAAATAATAATAATAATAGTGCGCTCAAATATTCAAATGGACGCTATTCGGTGAGAATTTTTTTGTCGCTAATTTTGTATCTAGTACTTTTTTGATGCCCGTGCCCAACAGTGGGCGTTAAAAAGGGCTGAATACATATATAAATAAAAATTTAAAGATTGCGTGTATGCATGTGTACACGCGCAAAAAGTAAAACTTCTGTATATTACTCTTTATTAAATTTGTTTTTAATAATTAGGATAGGTGAGATACTAAAAACAACGCATATTAGACATATTATTACAATAATATATTTATATAATATCATTTAAGGAAAGAATATAATATTATATATTACTAGCGACTCACCCTCGCTTCGCTCGGGTTCGTCCATAGGATATGTATACAACTTCCTTATTTAAATCGGATATTATTAAAAAATTTATTGGTTTTAATTTTTTTCGTGGGACCCTTTTTTTCTATTATAAAAGTAGCCTAAGTTACTCCTTATTACATCAGCTATCTGCCAGTGAAAGTCCCGTCAAAATCGGTCCAGCTATTTTAGAGATTAGCCAGAACATACAGACAGACAAACAAAAATTGTAATTAATGTTGTTTTGGTATATTTTCCGTGTATACATCCATATGCATTTAATAAAAACCTGTTAATTTGACATTACAAACAGACACTTCAATTTTATTTATCTGTATAGATTTTGTCAGACAATAACAACGGTTACCATGGCAACAAACGTATTTATATTTTTTCGTAACGCATTCACCAGCTTACCCCCCAAGTCAAGAGTGCATAAAGAAGTTTTACTTCAAAAATGTATGTTATTTTCCCCAATCCCCAGTTCACGGTGGTTCTTGGCGTGATCATCCTCATTCTGGGCACGTTCGCCAACCTGCAGGCGGCGGAGCAGTCGCGCGACAAGTACGACGACCGCTTCACGCAGGAACGAATCGACCAGATCGTAGAGGAGTTCTTCCATAAGAGGGAGAAGGATGGTGAGGATATTTAACTAATGGTTTAATTATAACGATATAGTAATCTATACATCTAAGTAATCTATAAGATAGAGGTTAAAATATCATGTAACAATACATATATTTTAAAACTTTTGCACTTTCAATGATAACTCATACTGAATATTCTTGCCTTTTTGTATTTTTAATTAACTAAACAGTAAGATTAATCAATATAGTCACTAAGGCGTAGTAGATGCTGTCATCCACTGTGTAGTAAAATTATTACTTTTCCCCCCTACAGGTATGTTGGTCAAACCTCCGATACAGGAACAGCTAATTTCACATGAAGGTTTGTATAAATCTAATAATCCCGTAGTAAAAGATTCTGAAGTACAACCGCCTAACCCAGTTCCGCCTGAATCACATTCCAAGGAGGAAATACCTCAAAAAAATGTTGTAAAACAAATACTAGCACAAAAGAATCTCTTAAACGAAGCATCTGAGTCGCATCCGAGAAATGTTAATTTAAAATTAAACGAAGAAAAACTTGCCAATGGCGCTAAAGTCGTTGAAGAGAAAAAAGAAGTTCCTAATATAGAAAAACTCAAAGAAGATAATCTTCAATCAAGTCAAGAGAAGATTGATATAATGAAACATCAACAACTAATAGAAACGATAAAACAACACGGTGAAGAACAGAAGGAGCTGATTAAAGAGCAAAAAGAAATATTAGATGAGATTATGAAAACTAAAAAAGAGTTGCAGAAGAATAAAAATGAAGTTGATAGCAGTGAGGCTAAGAAAATAGCGGTTGAGAGTATACAAAAAATTGCTAATATGGCGATACAAAGTTTGAGCGGCGTCACTGATAAACCGGTAGATGAAGTCGCCGTGAAAGGAGATCCATTAAAGAAAATTGCAAATATAGCTGTCAATAAAATAGCTAAACAAGCTGAAGAAACTTTAGACGCCATTAAACATATAGACGAAGCAAAAGATAAAAAGCAAATCGTACCAGAAACAGAAGTAAAAAAAGATAATAATGCAAATATTCAAATCAATATAAATAATAATCAGCAAAATGTACTGGATATAAATAGCAAACCTAAAATTGAGTCGGTCCAAAAGCCTGCATCAGAGAAAAATATTGTTGAAAAATTAAGTAATGGTATAGCGAATGGTAAGGAAGTGCAATCTAATATCAAGCAAAATGCACAACCAGAGAAACAGTCCAATTTGAAAATAGATTCTGTACAAAATAAACCAAAATTAGATATTAAAGGGGTCAAAGAGGAAGTAAATGATAAAAACATTGTGAAAGATACTGTGAAGGAACATTCTCACTTACCAGATGAACCACAATCGTACAAAGAAGGCGAAGATTCACAAAAAGTGCTTAAACTGCAAAATAACGTACAAAATGTTCCATTACTCATAGCCATGAGCGAGAATAAAACATTGAAAGATAAATTCATAGAAACACACAAAGAAGATATTATTAATAAAAACGGTGCTATTAATTTTAAAGAAACAAATATAAATAATAATGAAGATGATAATTCAAATATAATTCCACGGAGAAAACGTGAAGTTGTAGATTGTACAGAAAAAACGACGTTAAAGCCTGAAGATAAGCAAATTTGCGAGAATTTGGATAATGAACAAAATAAAGTGCCGCAGGAAGTGTATTTGAAGAATGTTGATTTAGGGGAAAGTGTTTTGTCCAATGATCTCCCCGTCAAAGCCATGTTGCATCACATTAGGTCTCTCAAGAGCATTCCAGATAAAAAAAGATGAAATTATTATATTAATTAAAAAGGAAACTCATAGATTTTTTATTCCAGTGAAATTTTTGGCGTTATTAATTCCAAGTACTGTTACATTTTATTAGAGGTTATAACATTGAAATTACATATTTATTTATTTTTACTTTTAATAAGCTGCGTGCGTTTTTACCAAATTTTCAAGTTTTATTTCTAATTATATAACAATATCTATATTGTTTTAATGCATTTAATAATGTTAACCACGTTAAGTTACACAAGCATTTATGAACTGTAATAACTGATTAAGTTATAATATTGAAAAGGCTGTGTCTTTTCATTGTAACTTTCGGGATGTCTCGATTTTTTATAAACTAATTAAAAATGTTCTCATATTTAATATTTATTCAAATTAGCAAAGAAACTTAGATTTAAAGTAAACAACTGTCTGTGATCTCATACTAAGTAATCTATGTTTTATTGATTTTGAGATTTTTCGATTTTAACTGTAATAATGTAGTGGATTATAATACTTTAATCAACTTTTCTAGCTAATGATAAATATACGATACATATTGAAAACCATTTACGACTGTAGAGTCGAAACTAGTGTTAACCATTAATACTTTCTTAGATTTACGCGGATATTTGACGTTTTAAATAAAACAATCTTTTCGTATTTTTTTTTGATATTATACATCTTTTGTCACGTTTTGAAAAAAATATGAGTAAATTTTTACGATGCGCGCGCACACCGACAGCCCTAAAGTGACATGGTGAAGTTAGCTGCATTCCTTTTATAAACAGAGAGTTGTGACATACGGAATGAAATCTAGCTATTTTTGTTCTGTTACGCCAAAGAAGTATAACTTCTTACGTGCGTACATAAATATACACACACGTTTTTTTTAATTTATGGGAACCAAAAATCAAAATAAACGAAAAAATCCGAAAAGGGTGTTTTTATTTAAAATTAATTATTAATTTATTTTTCAGTAAAATTTCGTCTGATATTTGTTAGTCAAAAGGCATATATTTTTCGTCAGATACAACTTTCATAAATTATTGTCAGCGAAGATGAAAGCTTAAAACTTAAAAAAAAGTTAAATTTTAAATTTAACGGTTGTAAATAAGCAGATGTATTAAAAATTGTGAGTACTGATTGATTTTTGTTTTAAAATTACCCGACTTGGAAGGAAAATAAATAATGCGTACTGTTAATGTAATATTTTATTTGTATAAATGCAAAACCCGACGAAACATTCACTAGTAAATATATAAAAAAAAGAAATAAATAACACGTTACTCCTTGCTTTCCTTATCTCTATCTGCAGTTTTTTTGGACCTGAAACAATATAAGTTAATAATAACCTTAAAATATAAAAAAATACGTATATAAAATACTAGCGACTCATCCTCGCTTCGCTTGGGTTCGTCATACAAACGTTGATTCCCCATACAATCTTTCATCCCCATTTTCACCCCCGATTTCCGAGATAAGAAGTCTGTAAAACTATCTTCTTACCAAATTTCATCTAAATCGATTCAGTAGATCCAGAGATTACCCCCTACAACGTCACAAACTCACAAACTTTACCTCTTTGTAATATTAGTATAGATGATGATCTGAGCGATTTCAGCCACGGCGGCTAATTTCACTGAGCTGAACTGAGAGGGTTGTTCAAAAACATATTTTTATTACTCGAAGGTTTTATTAGTAACCAATTAAAGTTCTTCTGACACCAAAATTAAGAGCTCGATTGTATTAAATATTGTCGCGTAATGGAGTGTGTAACGTCATTACACAAAAAATAATAATTAAAAAAACACGTGTGAAGCATGCTTTATGCATCCTAAGACAGTTGTCAAAATATCACGAGAGAGGCACCGAAATTAATAGACGTTTCGAGATTTAGACAAGAACAGTTAATCGTAAATTGCCGTGTGTAAGAGTGAGAGAGGAACAAAACATTCGAAATGACTGGAAAGGTTTCGAATTTTCGAATACTAGAATATTCTTTGTTTATGCATATAAAATTAAGTGAAGTTACAGTGGACGTGTATCTAGTGGTGAAAATTAGTGTCTAGTGACTGATTTTAACCAGAACTATTTATTCCATTCCACGTGATTTGTTGTAGATAAGACGCTTAGGCCGCGATCACAATGCAAGTCATAATTAGTCCGACGTTGCATTCCGCAACGTTTAGACGTCTCTCGTGTAGTTACATGATTTATTATCAATGTAGGAGATGACAGTGATACGTCGGAAAGTGATTTTATTTGTATGTTGATTTATTTTATTTTATTACAAATTATTAATAATTCCTCACTAAAACAACAGCATGAACGAGGCCTATGATTTCAAACCAGTTGCAAGCGTTAGAGGGCGGAGCTAGACAGTTTTCTGTCCTTATCAGTTTGTATGTAAATGTGGGAAAGAGAAAGCGCTTTGTATGGTTCACTAGACGTGAATAGAGTATAGTAGCTCAGTACTTATAGTCAGTCAGTCATCACTAGGATTGGTTAGGGAGTGTATTTATACAAGACATACTTCTTAGCAGTATCGGCCTTGGTCTGGCTGGTGTTGGAGGCGGTGGAGGCGCGGCGCGGGCGGCGGCCGGGGGCGGAGGGCGACCCCTCAGAGGGCGAGCCTTGTTGACTTGATAGATCAGCTTTCTGGAATTGTAGATAATATTAATGATTTGCATTTAATGATGACAGTTTATAGTGGGCCTACTTGTTGTGCCAGAGGTCGCGGGTTCGAGTCTCGCTGGGGGCATTAATTTGTGTGATGAGCAAGAATGTACTCCACTCATGGTGTTTAATGTTTATATTTATAATATATACGTATTTAAAGTTATACAATGTGTAGTGTATCCACTATCTGGTATCCATAACAGAAACATTGTAGCTTACCGTGGAACTAGGTAGTGCTGTGTTAATGTCCAAACATTGTATATATATATATATATATATATATATATATATATATATATATATATATATATATATACAATGTTTTCATTGTATATATATATATATATATACATATAAGGCTAGGCTGTTTATTAAACGGCTGATTAAGCGATTTGGGGAGGACATATATATTTTGACACACAAGTAACATATAATCGAATCTTTAGCCAATCAACATACCCGCTGATCAGTAGAAGTCCGTCGTCCCTTGGGCGTGTGTAGCGCCTCGCAGGCGCGCGCGAAGGACGCGCGGCGCCCGCGGAGAGGGCTCTCGTACGACTCGGGAGTCGCGCCTGTAATTTATTTATTTATATTATTTATTACCAACAGAAATGAAAGCAGTAATACAAGTATAATTTAAATATTTTTTTTTTAATAGTATTTCTTTTTAGAGTTCAAAACAATAAGTTTAATAAATGAAAGGATAATAAGAAATTAAAAACTGAAATACATTGTTGGATAAATTAATTTGTATAAATAAATTATTGAAAAGAAATATAATAATTTAACAGTATCATAAGTAGTTTTATTATTATATATTAATAACATTAAAGAGAACAAAATAATTTAAATTAACTCATTCATTATTTTTAAAGAAGTTGATTAATTTTAAAACTTTGTAATTTAATATTCTATTTTTGTAATGTTACATTTGTGTTACTATCGTCTAATTATATTATCATTTACACATTAAATATATTATATACTTATACAATACAATATGTTGTGTATATATATAGTGTATGATACTTATAATATCGTTATAATTTGATTCATTTTAATTCTCTTGTTAATGGCTTCAAAACGTGTCAATTGAGCACAGATTACTTCGCCAATGTCGCGTAGAAGTTATAAAGACCTCTAAGAAGAAGTAACGTCATAAAAAATAATATATTTTTCCAATAAGAAAATATTTTAATTATATTATAATAGGCATTAACAAAGGTTATAATTAAAGCGTTTTAAAATTACTACCATCATTTATAAAGATGTAACAAGAATTATGTCGAGATTAAATATTTTCTCAACTGCTATTTTACACTATCAAAGAATTTGCAATATGTATATTATAAAATACTTACATATATTTTTATTATTTCTTATATATACATTATATACCCTTAAATAAACAAACACATATATCTATCGTGTACTTATAAAAAAATGGACATTATGTAATTTTATATGCTTATTATGAAAAAGTAAAATTTTGTTTCTCTTTAAACAATAGGAAATAAGCTTTGTTATAGCCAATTATATATATAATACACATATACAATTTTTACATATAAAACGTATATAAACTAAATATATACTTAATAAAAAATGTTTCATGTATTTATTATTACAAACAATATAAAATTTGGACAAAATAAAATTCAAAAATTTACCAATATCTACAGACACACTTCTAACCACTCTAGCGGGTTTCGGCAAAGATTTAGTCTCAGAAGCGGCTCTTGCCATGCGAGCTGGAAATGTGAAGTTGTAAGAAAAGCGTATTAAATTAGTGTTTATTAAGTTATTTGCAGCAGTGCAAAGAATTAAAACTATAAAAGGATGCGAATTTTAAAAAATATTTTTTTTTTCGGAATTTAGCTCTTTTCTCTTTAGTCTCCCTCGTGACCATGTTTGATGTAAGCAAGCAAAAAAAAACGAAATAAAAAAAAACAAAAACAAAAAAATTGGAAAATATACTTTTATATAGAGTATTTTAAAGCCAGCAGTGTGTAAGCGTGCTATAGAGAGACCGAACCGTTTCACTTATTCATATGAATTTAACTGAATTTCCACTAATAATAAATATAACTTGTAGAAACTCCTAAATAAAAGTCAAAAGAAACCACCACCTGCAAGTCCATAATATTGTAAGAAGCTAGGATAGCGTTTATCGAAATCCGTGATTGAAACGCTTATCTAAGTATTATAATATCAAATCATTTAAAAAAGTAGTTTTAAACTAAATTATGTATCAATAAAATAAAAAATAAAGAAAAAAGAAATAAATGTAAAACAAACAAACAACCAATATATAGATACAGAAGGTACGTATAAATTTATAACCCTTAAGCCCTTTTTAGCGTCCCACAGCTGGGCGTGGGCCTCCCTTCAATATGAGGGAGATCAGGCCATAGTCCACCACGCTGGCCACAGAAAGTACACAAAATCTAAAGCCATGCACATGTTTAGGAGATATTTCATTCCAAAAGCATACAATACTCACATCGTCTACCGAAGGTGGTGTCTACGGCGAGGCCCAACTCGTCGGGGTCTGGCGAGCCTATTAGCGGGGAATTATTAGGGGACATAGACAGCCAAAAATATATTTTACATGTTAAAGCATAATTAATAATGTCGCTTAGCTTTTAACTCTACGATATTAACTATTAATAATTATTAGTTTTTCTTTTTTTTTTTTTGGATAGTCATCAAATTAGTGTATAAACAATTTTTTATCTTAAATTTATATATTATCAATGTATTCGCGACTACAAAATACTATGGTGTTTAGAATGTAGAATTCTGAAACCATTTAAAGATATATAATTTGATGAACGTACTTTATAATATGATTACGTGATATTAATAGTTTATTAAATTACATATATTTTTTTGTACTCAATTCAAATATAATAAAACGAATTTTACAATACAAATATTTATAATAAAGATTAAATTTATGAATTAAATCATCAAATTAATGGTTGTTTACTATAAAAATGTTAGCTAAGCGATTATTAATTGAAATAGCAATTTACAAACATGCAAATAAAATCAAAAATAAAAATCGGTTATTAGCAATACTGGATTAAATTTAAATTATAAAATATTTGAAAATCAAACTTGTAAATGTGTAAATATACATAGATTTAGGAAATTGTTAGAATCACACAAAATGGAACATTTAAAATATGTTACAACAGTAAATTTAAATTAGTTTATGTTGTATGCATTTTAGTTTATAATATTTGATCGGTCATTGAAAAATAAGCCTGATTACTTACTAATAAACTACGCAAAATTAACTTACATAGAAATTAGGTAAAAAATAAATAAATAGTTTTTAAACTTAAAATCTTTGTGCAAACAGTGCCAATACAGCAATCATAAACGTCACCAGTTAAAAGACAACTTCATGGTACTAGCGAATTAAATAAAAAAAAAACTATAATATGTACCTTTGTTGTAGACGCTATGTTAGTAGTATGCTACTGCACATATACTCCCTTCATATATATTCGTTCGTATACATAATAATATGTAATAAAGACAGTGAATAGATTTCTCTAGTGGCTGTTTTCGGCACCAACGACAGCACTTAGCTTTAAAGTTTATAGCTGTATAGTATTAGTTATATACCAGTAATAGTACTAATTATCGGCTGTAGTTAATTATGTATACAATATAATATTTATATTAATATGGAGTATATTAATTGACATTTCATATTGATATAAATATTATATACAAACTAATCAAAATTACTTCTGCAAATTACCAGTAATACATAATTATAGTTATAGTAATAATAAATTGGTACATTCTAAGATTTTCAATGAAAAATAATAATTGTAAAACTCCATGATAAAAGTCCAAATAGTTTGTTGAGGACACCTTATTTTAGACTCATCCGGATATCTAAGCAAATTTTAGTTTTACTCGAAAATCTTAAAAAATATTAGTATAACTTTATTTTTAACTCTTACCTTCAAAGTCGGGTTTATTTAACAAATTAATTCTATCCATGGTCTGAGGGTCCATGGAGTGGGTGGACGAGGCGTCGTCATCATCAGCCTCAGATCTGGAAGCCACGCTTGCTCTTCTTCCAGGAGTGTGGGGTGATTTGGGTTCCAGCCAGGACTCTAAAACCGCTTTTTGGTTACGGGTTAATCTGTAATTATGTTTGAATATTATGTTATTATATTTGTAGTTACTATTTCAAATTAAGGATAAAACAAAGAGTTATTGCTCATTTAATATTTTAATATTATAAGATATGCAGTAAGATTTTTAAAGTCAATATACTCGTTTTTACTGAATATTATAATTAAATATGAATACAAAAAGTAATATATTAAAACTTGACTGTTACCTTCTAGCGCTTAGTTCTTGCATGATATCATCATTTTCTGCCTTAGACTCTTCTGTGGCCACTTCTGGTATAACAGACAGGTCCGGCTTCGTACTGAGTATGGATTTGCGCCCTTTCCGTACTTTAATTTCTCCCTCCTCACTCATTCTACTTCTATTTGATTTCACTGACGAATCAGAAACAACACTGGCATTATCGTCTTCTTTCTTACTTCTAGAACGAGTGGAACGACGTCGGGGAGTCAAAACGTCTCCTTTAATATCTTCTACTTTCTCTGCTTCTTTAGTTTCTTTTGATGCCCTTCGAGTCGCTATGCTCTTAGATTTTACGGAAGATTCAGATGCAACACTGACGTTATCATCTTCTTTTTTACTTCTAGAACGAGTGGAGCGACGTCGTGGAGTCAATTCTTCGGTTATAGAATCTTCTTCTAATTTCTCTGATATTTCTCTAGACGCTCTACGTGTTATTATTTTTCTAACATCTGAAGGAGTTTTGGCTCGCCTTGGCGTACTAACTTCGATTGTTTTGCTGTCTGGTGTTTTTTCCTCTATAGTTTCTTTGTTAACGGACTGAGCTCTTCTTCTAGTCGATGGTGTTTTTTGTACTTCAGTGTCTATTGATTTCGTAGAAGATGTAGATTTTGTACGCTTTCTTATAAGTGGTGTTTCTTTTGCAATCATTTCTTCACTCTGCATTGGTTTATCAACTATTTGTTCTACATTGTCTTGCGTTTTCATTTCTTCTTTATCTTTTGATTTTTCTTTAACTATTTCTTTAGTTTCTTCTTTAGGTACTTCCTTTTCTTTATATTCATCTTTATTTTGATGTACATTTTCTTCTTTAGAAATTTCTTTTTCTGGTAAGACTGAAGCTTCACCTACTACCATTTCTTTGGTAGGTATTTTAATTTCTTCTTTAGCTACAATTATAGATGTCATTTCACTTGCTAATTCTAGTGTCGGTTCAATCTTCTTATCCTCTGCTTTTTCGACTTGACTATCTTTAAGTTTTGGTTCTAATGGAAGACTTGCATCAACCACATCTAAACTTTTAAGTAGTGATGTTTGTTCAGCTTCAACTTTCTCAACTACTGGAATATCTTCTTTTTCTTCAGTTATAGGTTGCATCGCTTCAACTATTACTACTACTTCGACAGGATCTATAAAAAGAAATTTCATTAAAAAAAAAGTTAATTTATATTAAAAAAACATATGAAATTTGTATTGGAACATATTTTTTTGTTAATTATACTAATACTAAATGTAATAAATATAGATATTAATTTATTAAAGTATGTTTGTTATACTTAAAACTTTAAACTTTATCACAAACAGCAATAATATAATTATGTATTTTTATTTAATTTAAATTCGAACTTTGACAACTTACCTGTTTCCATAGCTTCACTGCTATTTTTATTATCTATTTCTTCTTTATTTTCATCTGAATAATTGAGATTTACAGATTCAGATTCCACAATAGAATTATCATCAGTAAGTATGGACATGTTGGGAACTTGGTTAAGTTCTGCTGGATCTTCTACCACTGAAGTAGGTTCTACTTCTTTTTTCTCTTCTGTAATTTCTATGGGATTTTCAACGATGATCTCTTCTTCAATAATAGAGGCTTCAATTTCTTGAATTTTAACTTCTTCAACGACCTCTGTTACTTTTTCTTCTATTGGCATTTGTTCGTCAATTTGCAAATTGTTAGCGTCTGAAGATTCGTCAGAGTCATTTATGGATATTATTTCATTTTCACTTTCAGATGTGGATTCCTATAAAAAATATATAAGATAAACGTCAAAACAAATATGTATTGCTAATAATGAGTAAAAGCTATTTTAACAATTTTTTTTAATACTTGAACCATTCGAGTCATATACGAAGAATATAATACTTACTTCTTCCTCTTCACTTTCATCACTTTCTTCTTCAGCACTCTCACTGGATTCTTCAACAACTTCCGAATCAGATTCAACTCTGCACTCATCCGACATCTCTCCTTCTATCTCATTTATCTCTCTCTCTATTTCTACTATTTTCTCTTTCTCCTTCATAACTCTCGCTGTTTCTTGGGATTTCCAGTTAGTTTCCACTTCACTATCACTAGTCATGATACTAGAATCTACACTTTTGGCTTTTGACGAATCGATTGTACTCTCATTACCGAGCACGGGTTTGCCGAAATCGCTTTCGTTCAATTTGAAGGAGATTTTAGGTAATTCTTCTACTTTAGTTCCTTCTTTTTCTTGAACGCTAGTCTCTATACTACTTTCGACACTGTGAAGCACTGATTTTCCAAAATCTTCATGCATAGTTGTAAATGCGGGTAAAGATTTTAATTCAGTTTTCATTTCCCTCTCTTCAATGCTAGATTCAGCCACACTACTCTCATAGCTGTGGAGTACAGATTTCTCCATATAAACTTCATTGATAGTTGTGAAAGCCGGTAATGGTTTAATTCCAGAATCTTCATCGCTCTTGGAGATTTCTTTTGTTGTCATTGATAAAAAGCTTTCAGTTGAGCTTTGAAGGATAGATTTGTTTACTATAGGTGAGAATGTAACATCCATAAAGCTTGGTGTGTCTTTGGACGATTTCACTGGAGTGCTTTCTACGGTGCTGTCGGTCTTCTCTTCAATGGATTCAGTGTCCATTTTTTCTATTTGTTTTGTTTTTGCAAACGCGTTAGCTTCCAAGACTATTCTGGACAGTGATTTTTTGTTTCTGGAAGATTCTTTCTTTGGGGACATCAACTTTTCAGGAGTTTTCGAACGGCTCCTAAAATAATATTTATGCAATGATAAAATTATTAAACTTTTAAGATGGTTTTTTACATGTACCAAGAAATATAAACTTACCTCAAACTTCTTGGGCTGGTAACAACGGGTTGTTCTGGTACTTCTACTTCAGGAGTACGTGAGCGACTTCTAAAGGAGCATAAATATCATTATAGATAAATATAAATTGGAATCTTTTGTATGGTGGAAAATTATTTTGTGTTTAAGAAAATATAGTATTAAAAATGGGTTATTATTTATTACTGGCATAAACGAATGTTAATTATAGTAGCAGAAGAAAAAAAAACATATTACATTTGAAAGGAAACTTATTGGCTGTGAGATGAATTATTACAAGTAATCATCAAGTTCATAATAATTGTGAATGCATATTATATTTTTCAAATAGTGAATTCAAAAATTTAAAATTTTCTTGCTTATAAAATTTACTACTTTAATACCTCAAACCGCGACGAGTGGGCGAAGCAGGCGGTGACTCTATCGATACTGGCAATTCCTTGATCGCTTCCAGTCGAGGCGACTCTTTAACTGATTTATCTATTCTTTCTGGCGTACGTGATCTGCTTCTAAAAATAAAATGAAAACGGTTTACATATCGACATAAGAACAGAACATCAAGTGATACATGAGCTGTCACTACTAGTGGATTATTACGAAAAGAATTCTAATATACTTGTAGATTTAAATCATTTATTATACATACATAATATAAACCCTAGATCTAAAACTATATAGCTTTCTAGTTAGTTTTAGCTATCTATTACGGGTTCGCAATTATTAAGATAGACGAAGTGTCTATTTGATGCCAATAAGAACATGCTAAAATTAATTTCGACGATCACGATTTTCAATATATATAGTTACAAACTATTTAGCCTTACTTCATTTATGCGCGTCCCTTAAGGCCTTACCATGTCATAGACTATCTGCGTTAAATTTCATCAAATTCATCCACAGGTAAGGTCTATAAAGAATGGCTTGTAGGTCTGGCTTTGAAGAACAAGTATGGACACACACACACACACTCACACACAAACAGACGGACACACAGTGGTTCATTTAGCCTCTAGCATATTGAATAAAAGCAAATCACAAGTCTACCTGAGCCGCCTGGTGAGGGCGAGCGCCGCGGGCGCGGGCGCGAGCGCGGGGCTGCCCTCCTCCTGCGCGGGCTGCTCGGCAATGGGCGGCAGCGCGCGCGGCGACAGCTCCGGCGTGCGAGATCTGCTTCTGATCATATAGTATTTACTTATTTTGGAAACAAACGGTGTTACAAAATATATAATATAACAAATTATTAATAAATATTACATTATAAATAAAAGTTTTCGATTTTAAGTAAAACTTATATCAAAGTTTGGAGAGAAGATGAAAAATAATTAATGTAAGCAATAATAAAAAAAAAAGTAGTAAATTGAAAAATAAAGAGAGAGAGACCACACATCAATAAATTATAATAAATTCCTTAAGATATACACTTTTATTTCACTACAATTATAAAACATCGACTAATACTCGCATCGGTTGCGTTCCTAGGTGGATAACAAGGAAAAAAGGAAGGCACCTCGCTAGTTTTATGGAGTTAACAAAAACAAACCTATCCCACGGAAACCGTACATTTTTCCGTGATAAAAAGACTATAATCTATCTCCATCAACAAACATCCATACTCACAAACTTTCACATTTATAATATTAGTATAGATTAATTAAACATTTTTAAGATCTCATTTCTGGGCTTATAGCAAAGGAATTAAGCCTTATTTACTTTATCTGGCTGGCTAAACGAGATAGCAATTTCTAAGACACGCAGGTTTCCCACAATGTTTACCCTTCACAATATTAACGAACGGTAATCATGTTGAAATTATTACCACATAACAATATCAGCGGTACAAAATGCGGAGTTTTTTCAGTATTATTTGTTAACTGATGAATTTGGAGTATTTTTTAAATTTATATTTAGATGCTACGTAATAGAAGTTAGAAAAATAGTAAGATTTTAAAAAGTAAACGACTCTTCAGAACAAAGCCTACATAAATTAGCTAAGCAAGCGTCGCAATGGACACAAGCTAGTTTTATACATAAAAATACATCAAAATTACCTCCGTAGCGGCGTTACCATCGGGGAGTCTTGACGTTCAGGTGTCACCGAGTGACTTCTGAAATAATACATTATATTATTACTTTTTAATTTATGTTGAAATATGAACGCAATCCTAAAGGATTGAGATTGAGAGATTTAATATTGTATCAATTATTTTATATATACTATTTTGTTTATATAAAAATAAATTTCTACAGCTGCCATCGTTTTCACGCTTGATCCCTTTATTTGTACTTTTACCTATTTAAGCTCATTTACCATCATCATATACTAGTTTTCATTAATTTAAAATATACATAAGAAACTAGCCTAAAAAGAACAATGTATACAATCCAGGTTTATATAAAATAATAATGGATTGAAGAATATTCAATGGTATACACACACCTATTGCCAACTGAAGCACTATCACTAACACCAGACCGAATACTGCGTCTTCCTTTCGGCGTCTTAGGCACATAACTTTCCTCTCTCTCTCTAACTTCCACATTCACTTCTCCGTTCTCTCTCTCCGTAATCTCCACCTTCACCATTCCCTCCTCTCTCTCTCTGGAAGGAGAGCGCGAGAGTCTGTCCCTCTCCCTCGCACTATACCGCGGGTTAATGAGTGTAACGGGTATATCCGCTATGCTTTCTATAGAGGAATTCGGGTCGTCCGATAGACTGCTATTCACTGATATGGACAGGGATTTCCTGTTGAGAATAAGGTTTAGTTTAATTTTAATTATATCACATACATAAAAAAATAGTTTATACTAGCGACTTACAATCGCTTCGCTCGGATGAGTCTCTAGGTACGCGGATTTTGTTCACAATTTCATGGGTTTAATTTTTTTTGCATGGAACCTCGATTATTTATCTACAACAAAACTAGCCTAAGTTACTACTTATAACATCAGCTCCAGTCGTTTCGGAGATTAGCCGGAACAAACAGATCGACAGACAAAAATTTGAAAAATTGTTTCTTTCTTATTAGTACTGTACATACTTTCATATACATTTAGTAAAAAGCGGTCATTTTGACATTACAAACAGACACATTAATTTTATTTATCTGTATAGATAAAAAAGTATATATTAGTAAATACTAATTAATACCTTGCTCTGACATTGTCTTTATAAGACTTTCTAAGTTTGACCTCTTCAGCGGCGAATTTCTTTGGCGGCGATTCCATTGGATGAGACTCACTCTAAAATTGGGTAAGAAATAGTTATATTCATAATAAGCGTATACAATATTTGCCCTAGTTTTTTTATATGATACTTTGAATGTTTAAAATAATAATTGGTAAATTATGGTAATCTATACTAATATTATAAAGCGGTAAAGTTTGTGAGTTTGTGAAGTTGTAGAGGATAATCTCTGGATCTACTGAACAAACTCTACACATTGAAAATAGTAGCATAAATAGCCAAATCACGCTTCAATTTTTGACTTTTGCAAATATTTTGGCAGACTCTTGGTCTGTATAATTCTTTAGTCTAAAATACATACATTGACCTATGTAGAGAATGGATGAAGCAATACTCTCATGAAATTGAGAACTCTCTAGAAAGAGAGAAAAAGAACGTGCAGCCAATACCTGTCTTTTATTCTAATTTGAATTTAAAAATGGAATGTAAAAAATTATAATAAAACATTTTATTACAAAATATAACATTATAATGGAATGTAAAATGATTATAAATATCTATCTACATTAATCGTATTTCAATGAATACAACAGACTTCTGGCCGCACACTCGTTTTGTCTCTGTCGTGCCTTTCCGCCATTTTTAGCTGACGACTGGCAAAGAAACATTGAGTCCACTCTCTGTCTATGACAGCGCTGCTAATTGGCGAGTAAATTACCCGAAAATCGGGTCATTTTAGGCGATTTTTGATGGCGAGTAATTTTAACGGATACGGAATACCTATTTGCATTGAGCGGGATCAAAGCAGGTATTTTAGTTAATCTGATTAATTTGATATTTTCAGTTTTTTTTAATGTTTGATTTAATAATTTAAAACTGTTTAATTGAGAAATGATTACAATGTCTTCTTTTTCTAACATTAGTACTTTCTTTTATTCTATATTAAACATGAATAAATTATTTTAAAAAATTCTATTTTCGGGTATTCTGCTCATGGTTGGCGCCGGCGGAATAAACCGGGTATTTTGAGGTTTATTGGTTGGGTAAATCAACGACTGTTATTTGCCAGCCCTGGTGTATGGATACATACCATAGGCGAAGCCCTATGCCCGTAGTCCTCATGTTCGTTGCTATCCTCCGACTCTTCCTTCACCTCCTGGACTGGCACCGCTACTGGCGAGGGTGTGGACCCTGCTTCTGATGAAGTTGGTATTGTGAAACGGAGATGCCTGAAATTCGTATTAATATTATTAAAAATATGAAAATTTGTGAGTATGTATGGATGTTTGTTACTCCTTCACGCCAGATCCGGATCCTACCTAAATGGATCTAGATGAAATTTGCCACAGAGATAATCTCTCTGATGATATCACACAAAATGAGGCAAAACTATTTTGTTTCACAAAAAAATAATTTTAAAAGAATGTGTCACTGATCGTTCAATCGTGAGATTATTTGAATGCTTTTGACAATTCCTTACTAATGTTGGTGATAAGGTGGAAAAAGATAGCAAAAAAAATTTTTTCGCACAAATTTTTTCTTAACGCATTTTCACCTATCAAAGTTCGGAAGTCGATTTCATCGTAAAATCGCCTATTAGGAACCACCTTTTTTTATTATTCGGTAACCTGATAATTTGCTGAAGTTTCTAAAAGTACTTTGAATCTATGAAACTTCCATTTTGTATTGTTAAGAGAATTCTGAAAATTTAACTCCGTCCAACGAAAACCTAAAATTTTCACTTTCGACCCTTTTTTTGGTAACTTATAATGAAGAACGTTGTATAGTTGATTTTAACGTATGAAAGAGTGATTCAAGACGATCATGTTGCAGAAAAAGAAACCAATTTTTTTTTACTATCAAACAAGATGATTTTTTAAATTGCTCCAGTAGAAAATTCGCAAAAACACATTAAAAATATTATAACTTCTAAACTACGAAAAAAGGCGGAACCTACATGGAGTATTTTCGGATACACCCAGGTGTGAGGAATCTAAAGAAAATATTTATGACGTCATTTCTTGGACCATATATATAATTCTTCTGTACGTGTGTGTCACCTAACTTCTCCTAAACGGCTGGGCGATTTGGATGATTTTTTTGTGTATTTTTCAATTTTCAGTGGCTTCTTGGACGGGTTGAAAATATAATTGGACCCGGTAGGTGGCGCTGCAGTCGGTGTCACCAAATTTTCACGTATGACTCCATTTTCCGTGCAATAAATACATTTAAATTATTGGTTTAATAAAATAAAAATCGATGTGTGTATGTTCCCTATGGACTCAAAATAGCGGGACCGATTTTGATGAAATTTTCAAACAATCTTTAGGTACAGAAAAATCACTGGACAGACTTTGATGAAATTTGGTATGATGATAGGTGATTATCCGGATCAACATATAGGGTACTTTTTACTGCGGGAAAATATCTCATCTCTGAGAAATCAACACTGAACGTTAAAACGTAAACTATAAGAAATAGCTCTCACTTATTAGCATCGCTGCAATGTGTATGGTTGCTCGCGGTCTCCAGCTCGTCGTCGCTGTCGCCCTGGTAGCGGGAGTCCGCGGGCGACGGCGCGTCTTGGTTTCGACTTTCTAATCGACGGTTCTAGAAAAAGATTTTGTAATCACATAAGCTATTGATTGTATGTCATTATTAAATAGCACGATAGTATATCCGGAAATAACACATCTATACTAATATTATAAACAGGTAAAGTTTGTAAGTTTGTGACGTCGTAGGGACCTGAACTGATTTAGATGAAATTTGGTAAGAAGATAATTTGAGACCATGGGAAGGACAGGATCCTTTTTAACTCAGAAATCATCCGTTAAGGAGGTGAAAATGGGGATGAAAGTTTGTATTGGGAAGCAAGCTAAGGACGAACCCAAGCGAAGCGAGGGTGAGTCGCTAGTATACTTATACTTTCGTTACCGTCTACACGTTTTCGGATAATGACGGTTAAACTTGAATGTGATTTAAAATAATAGAATTATAACATAAAAACAATTTAATTAAAAGTTAATTTCTAAACTTATTAAGACATGGCGCCGCCTGGCGTGGGCAGAAAATAATATTTTATAATTGTTAAAGACATACGAAACTTATTTCACAAATTTTACCACATTCGTATATTATTTTAAGAAAATTATATAAGTATTAGACTTTTCGTTTTAATCTTTATAATTGTCAACAAATACATATGATTGCCCTGTTGTTTAAATTTTGTTAAAATAAACCTACTAACATGGTTTTTAAGTGTTGTGATTTAAATTATGGATATTCTCTAATAACTTAATTAAACATTAAACCTTTATAAAGTTTATGTATAAAACCCATGCTTAATACAGCTTGAAATACTAAAAATAAAACATAAACAGTACCTTTAAAATACTATGTGGTGTTTCAGCTCTTTCGTAGTGTTTGTGAGGGCTCTCTACTTCGGGCATATCGAGTAAGCTCGCCATTTGGCGGCTGAGGGCATCACTGACTTTGAGGGTGCAAGGGACTTTGGGCGTTCGGGGAGTGCCCGTAAGGTCGAGTTTTGCGCGCTTTGGCGGTGTTGCTTCGCAGCTCTTTTGTTCCGATAGGAAGCTGTAAGGAATTAATTACATATATGAAGTTAGAATATATTTGAGCTATGGAGGGTAGAGGTAAGGAGAAAAACTTAGGGAACTTCTATTTAAAAAAAAGAATAAAGGTTCCACTCAAAAAAAAAACGTAAAAATAAATAAATTGCTAGTTTAAAATAAAGTTAAAAATAGAATTTGGGTGAAAAATCTAGTAAGGATACATTTGTACATATACTGTATGTAACCTAGATAAAAAAAATAAAAAAGTATTACCTTCTGGTCTTATATGTTTTAGGGGTACAAATAAATGGCGTTTCTTCTATGTTTAGAGCGCGTTTGATACCTTTTCTTAATTTCGGTTTATTAATCCATGTCTCACTTGCATTTTCGATTGTATCCTGTGAATTATTATAAAGTATACAATTTCAAATATTCATATAATAATAACAATGTAATTATTCTGTATTTCTTTTAAATAAAACTATCTTTTCAGATTTTTTCGCGAATTTATTTTCATTTTTGGTTCCCGACGTTTCGAATGCTTTACAGCAATCATGGTCACGGGAGAGACTGAGGTGTTAGATGTCTCTAAGGTATTATATAGTTGTTACAGACAGCCTACCCACAATTAACAAAATGAATAAAAAAAATAGAAAATTTAAATTAAAATTATTTTTAATTGATCTTAACTTTTTCAAATTACACATAGATCAATTATGTGGCTTAAATAATTAATATATTATGGTTTCTTTATGGTTATAAATATAATAATGGCAACACTAAAAATGTAGATTACTAATTAAAATTTTTGAATTCATTTTGTTTTTTGTGGGTAGGCTCTCTGTAACAACTATATAACACCTTAGAGACATCTAACACCTGTCTCTCCCGTGACCATGATTGCTGTAAAGCATTCGAAACGTCGGGAACCAAAAATCAAAATAAATTCGCGAAAAAATCAGAAAAGATAGTTTTATTTAAAATGTCAAGTATTCGCGTAAATCTAAGAAAGTATTATTCTGTATTTCTGTTTGGAAATTTAAAATTGTAAAATGTAAAAAAAAATGATTTTTAATTGTTATAATAACGTTTTTATGAGAATTTTTAGATGATGAAAATTTACATATTGATTGTAAATATGACAATAAAAATTACCTGTATGAAAGACGATTTGTATGTAAAGGTATTTTTTGGTGATTTAGCCTGAACATACACTGACATTGGCTTAGGCTTGATGACTGAAATGAAAAGAATTTAAAATTCACATTTAGCTTTTAATATATATTCATTTATATGTCTAGCTATGTTGTTATATTAAAAACAAATAACTTGATATTTAAAGTAGGAACTGTTGAGTTGAGTAGAGCCGGCGGGCTCTACTCAGTTTCCACACAAACAGACTTACATTTTTTTTAATTAAATTGACGATTTAAATTTAATTAACTTTAATTGAAGTTGGAAAAAACTTAGTATTTATTAGTTCAAACTACTAATACTTGTTGTACTTTACAGTAGAGTTCTTTTTTCTCCACTTTAAAAAAAAGCTTTATTTCTAAGATTTTTATACATATGTATATAGATAAAATAAATATCTGGTTTATTTAGGAAAAAGTGGATTTAATACCAATATAATTGACATTTAAATCTTCATTAAATATTAAAACTCTTTCGGTAAATTGATCATTCGGACAAATAAGTACTGAGACGACGTATGTTAGGTAACAACAAACGCACCCGAGTGAGGAGACGGTAAGACATTAGCAAGGAAATAAAAGTGTTGTTATTATATGTACAATGTGCATACTATGGGGTTCAAATGCGTCGGTGATGGCGCGCGCGACGGTGTGCGACACGCGGGGCAGCGCCGCGCACGCCGCCTCCACCAGCGCGTCGCGGGCCTCGCCCTCCGCGCCGCCGCCCCCGCGGGCCTTCGCCCTCTCGTTGTGTTGTTGCGCTTCTAGGTACCTACGGAGATGTGTTCATTATATTTCAGACCTAACGTGCCACTGCTGGGCATGGGGAATCAATAAGAGATAAGAGGAGAATCAGGTCATGGTTAAGCTGGCTGGACAAGTGCGGGCGGACTGTGCATGTCAGACTTGCAGGTTTCTCTTAGACAAGGATAATCATGTTGAAAAATGATACATGCATGACCCGGGATTTGAATACACTTCACTCAATTTCTCGAGCGAGCGGATTATACCACTGGGCCACCACTGCCTATCGTGTTGATTAAATTGTGTTTATAATTAGGTAGTTGACACCACCAAACTATATTACTTGATTTCAAAGTTGCTAAAAATCTAGTTTTATAGTTAATTGAAAATTAATTGGATTTTCAGGGCTATATATAACGGCAGGGTAATGGTGTTAAAAGCCTAATAAAAACATTACATTTTTTACAATAATATATAATAATAATTATTATTATTACCACGACTCACCCTTGCTTGGCTTTAGGTTCGTCTCTATACAAAAACAAACCTATCCCACGGAAACCGTACATTTTCCGGGATTACTTTTTATCCCGGTGTTATTTCAAACTATAATCTATCTCTATGCCAGATCCGTTCTGACGTAAAAGAGTAACAAACATCCATCCATCCTCACAAACTTCCACGTTTATAATATTAGTATGGATATGGATAATTTAGATAAAAAGAAATAACAGTACCTGGCCTGCTGTAAATAGTACATGATGAGTATGTCAGAGGTTTGCGGCTCATTACAATCTTTCAGATAATTTATAAACACTTCTTCTTCGAACGGTAACAGTGTAGCTTGAAGAACTTTGGACAGCTGGCCCGTATTACGACATCCTGAACACAAAAATAATTAAATTCATTTAGTATATGTACATTTTACATTTTAAAAATGAGATTTAAAAAAGAATCATTGAATCAGAAATAGTTTATGCAGACATTAAAATATTGATTTTACATTATATATTCTGTAAAAGCTTATTTAAAAAGTTGAAAAAAATATATTGATTATTTTGTTTGTTACGCATTATTTCGTAATTATGGGTAAATTGGGATAACTCTATTTTCTTATGAATGGAAAAACGCCCATATGAAAAAAAAAGAAAAAATTATAAACTCTAAATTGTGAAATAATTACATTTTAAGGGGAATTTGTAGTTGGTGTACTACTAGCAAAACCATGAAATGGTTAAAAAACCATTGAATGGTAAAAAAAAATCACCACATTTCATGAACACAATAAAAATCTACAAAATAAAAAAACAATAAATAAAACAAAACCAACCTTTATAAAAGAAATTAAGCAGATAAGTCTTATCATCAGCCGAACTGGCATTCTGGACGCACATTCTGATCACATCCAATGCTTCGAACACCAATCCTCTCGCCAGATACAGATTACAGCAAGATTGCCAATCTTCCAGTTTATCATGATCATTCACTTCACTACTTTGTATTGGTGGTGGTTTCCTCACATGCAGATATTGTAGTGCCGCTTGAGTTTTCTTTTGTGCTAATAGAGATGATAGGACAACATGGTGTTGCCAGTCTGATAGCGTGTTGCCTGTTAGGCATTGGAGTTGGTCAAGTGCGAACTGTAATTAAAGATTTATTTTTTCAATATTAAATTAAAAATATATATAAATATTTAAATTCTGTTAACTTTTAACATAGCAATGATAAACACAGTTTTAAAACCTTAAAAAAAATTCACGTTGCACCATCATAAATATCAATAAATATGAAATTGAGTATATATAACAAATAATATTATGCTTAAGGGGATCTTTCGAAAAGTATAGTCTTGTAAATACACTATAATTAATAATAAAAATAGATACAGCAAATCTTACATCAAAATCTCTATGATCGAGATGCCAAAAGGCCTGTGTAGCTTTAATGGCAGTATTGCTGAGCCCAAACATTGTGGGGAACTGCATTAACCGACGGATTACTGCCTCGTATCTGAAATTTAAATTAATATTTCCTAAGCTCAAATTTAATATTCATAGTTGTTTATAGTTTAATAGTGTAATTTATAATTTATATACAAAGCTTATAGTGAAATTTACGAAAACTGAATAATAAGGTAAAATAATAATTAAGTATTTAGTGCATTCAGTAGTCTCCTTGAAAAGCTAGGGTTAGGCTAAATTTATTTTTGTTATCGCCGTGCAACCCTGTTAATCATGGGTTCCATGCCGGTTGATAAGTGGCAGGGACTGTGAGACTTTTAAGTCACTAAAATTCATAGCAGAACTAGGATATTACAGGATTGCTTGGACACACACTATAATGTTATGAAACATATTCATGAATTAGTCTAAAAGTATTTGCACATCAGTCGTCACACTGTTAAGCCTATCTGGCAACTCCCTTAGATTTTCTGTAGTTAAACCTTAAACCCATAACATTACCATATTGACAAATTCAAAAAAGGAAGTACTTTACATACAATATGTCTTCTTGTGAATATCTCCTTTTTAGTAAAATTTCAAGGTCGCGTCATGGGAAATCGTCATCCCGTGGTGCTTGTATTAGGTTGCCATAGTAGCCGTTGTAGTTTAAATTATTACTATAAACAAACAACCCCACCTGATATCATCATACAGCATAGAGTAATCAAGCAGTAGATACAGCAGCAGCGAGTGCTTGTGCTCTTCAGGGATGTCCGGTAGCAGGTAGAGCCGCAGCAGCGCGTACAGCGACGGCGGCGGATACAGGCCGGCCGTGCTACCCGCTTTTATCCACATTCTGGGATAAATTAAATGAAATTAAACTTTATTCAAGTAGATTTTAAATAAAGCTATATCTATACCAATATTATAAAGAGGGAAAGTTTGTGAGGTTGTATGGGGGTAATCTCTGGATCTACTGAAATTTGTTAAGAAGATAGTTTGAAACCCTGGGAAGGACATAGGATACTTTTTATCCCGGAAATCATCCCTTAAGGGGGTTAAAATGGGGATGTAAGTTTGTATTTGTAATCAAGCTAGGGACGAACCCGAGCGAGGGTGAGTCGCTAGTATATACTAGATATATAATTTTCGGATTTTCGCGGATTTATTTTGATTTTTGGTTCCAAACGTTTCGAATGTTTTAACTCTTTACAGCAATCATGGCCACGGGAGAGACTAACTTGTGGTGGTTCACGAACACTCGCAGTACAGTTTTGGCCTAACTCATTTTCTGACTATAACATATTATTTTTTTTGATTATTATTATTGTTAGTGTCAACCCTTACTCATTCTGCACTATAAGAAAATACTATTAATGGTAAATAAAAAACTGTATTTTAATTTCATTTTTTTAAACTACTAACGAGATATCGCTCAGATGCGTCTCTTGATATATAAACCAGATGTCAGAAAAAGTCATCATCTAATACGAGTTGTGATTTACAGCAAAATAGCGAGCATTAAATTTCTTCTTGTCTTCTGGATGTAAAAAAACTTATTTGTGTGTCTATATTTTAAAGATAATAAAACACCTTTAGAAGATTTTCTGTTTTGCACATAAAAAATACATTATTTTTATATAGATTTTCCACTTTTTATATATAAAAATAATTGTATTATTATAATACTCACTGATGCACTCGCTCGCCTCCAAATTCATTTTCAATGAGCTGATCTATGTATAGCAAAGAACACGATTTGTTCACGGACTCTTCTTCCGACCTGTCTTGCAGTCGATGTAACTTCACACGACTAGAAAAAATAACATTTTTATATAATATATAAGTACATATATAAAAACCTCAATAAGTAGTTTATTTTTCTATACATAATAAAATATTTAAAAATTCTAATAAAAAGCAAAACTATTTCGTTAATCGTTTTAAAAACGGCAATTCAAATTTCACTCAAATTCATCGAGCGGTTCTCATTAGAAAATAGTAACAAACGCATTCTAAAACTTTCATATATAAAATAAACTAGCCGATTACCCCCATTTTATTTGAGTACTAAATGGTACCCTATGTCTTACTCGAAGTCAAACTTCAGCTGTTTCCAGCATCTATCAGCTCACACACACAAACACACACACCTATAAACTTTCGCAATTATAACAGTAGTCCTATATACATAAAACATATCTATAAATATACAGTGCCCTAGTCCTACATACATATATCTGCTTATATATGTACATCTATTCATCCATATCTACACCGTCCATATACATAAAAGCCTACTTATCTACTTCGTGTACTATATTTCATTCACCAGCTCACACACACACACACACATTAGTTCTATATATACATACTACCATTGCCCGCGGCCCCGCCCGCGTTCAGATGACCAAAAACCAAATTCTTAGGTTTTACATATTAGTATACTCTTACACTGCAGTTTTTGTATTTTTCTTTGTGTTATTTTCCCGCGGTAAAAAGTATCCTATATGTTGACTCGGATAACCAGCTAACATGATACCAAATTTCATTAAAATCCCTTCAGTGATTTTTCCGTGATGCGGTAACAGACAGACAGACAAACAGAAATTCTAAAAACTATAGATTCGACCTCTGTAGATAATAATGTTTATTGAAATAAGATTTTCCAAAAAATATTTAATATACAGATTCGGCTTAGTTACAATTTTATTATATGTATAGATATGTACACACAAACATCCATTACAACACAAGAGCGGTACCGTTTAGTGTACACGTCCGCGAGCTGCGCGGCGGGGTAGGGCAGCGCGGCGTAGCAGGGCGCGCGCTCGGGCAGCAGCGCCACGCGCACGAACCACTGCACCACCTGGAAGTACAGCGACACCGTACCCATGCCCTTGTACTTCTCCTCCATTTCACTTAGTGCTGGGGAACAAATTATTAGGGGAAATTAATATATTTAATGTGTATGAAATCCTCCCATTTCACTTAGTCTATAGATATTTATCTACCTTCTATTGACTCGCCCTCGCTTCGCTTGGGTTCGTCCCTAGCTTGCTTTCCAATACAAACTTTTATCCCCCTAAAGGGATGATTTCCGGTATAAAAAGTATCCTATGTCCTTCTCAGGGTCTCAAACTATCTTCTTACCAACAACTATAATTATATTTAATGTGTATTTTCTCCTCTATTCACTTATTACGTCCGTAAACAAATTATATACATTGATATAATGCTATACATTGACCAACTCATTCAACATGAATGTAAAGATGAGAGAGTGCATCAGTGTGTATTACTGTATTATAATAATGCAATCATTTTATATTAATAAAATATGTTTTTATGAATATAAATAGTATAAAATCTATATAAATAACAATGTAATTTAATTTTTTGAAAAAAAAAACCAAGCCAGAAATTACATATAATGTTACTGTTGGACGATTTCTTATACAAAATACATTTTTTTCAAAAACTTTTTATAAATCATATAAGAAGTACGATTATTTTCTTGCAATCTATACTGAAGATTTCATAAAGACAGCAATAGTTTAATTAGGTATCATATATGGAAAGAATATATTATATATTTGTCAGACAATAACAATGGTTACCATGGTAACATGACAATGTATTCTATCTCATTCTCTCGCCAGCTTAATCCTATATATTTATGTGTTTGTCTATTTTTGTGGTACATTTCTATTTCATCAAGTTTCAAATCACAACGATTCTAAAGAAGTTTTACTTTATAAAATACATAAGTTTAAAAACATGATGCTGGTTTTCACTCAGATATCCTACACTTGCATGAGTTAAACAAACTGGTACTCACCATCAGGCACAACAAGATTGCAGCACTTGGTGAGTATAGCGTCTAACAGTCCCGTGAGCTGAGTGAGTTGCTGCACGCAGTGCTCCAGGCAACGCACTACGTTCCTGCAATTATAGCTTATTACTATTTATAATACCTATGTATGTATTTAAAGTTTCATATATGTGTAGTGTATCAACTATCTGGTATCCATAACACTTAAACACAGGCCTCGTAGCTTACCATGGAACTAGATGGTGCTGTGTGTTAATGTCCAAACATTTTTATTATTATTACAGCATAGTTATTATGTGTTATGGATTTTGACTGATTTCAAAAAATGACAAGGAAAGTACTTCACTAAGATAAATGTACCTTTTTTAACCCTCGACGCAAAACTGAGGTTATAAGTTTAACTTGTGTCTATTTGCGGCATCGTATCGCCCAAATAGATAGTCAGATTTTAATATAGATTTTGTTTGTTTGAAAGGTGAATTAATCAAGTATTTTCTTAACTAGAAATCACGTTTAGCTGTTTGCAGCCTATCAGCTCTCTTCTAGACGATAAAAGGATATTTCACAGATCTAATAGATTCAAAACTTGGTATCCTATTACTTCAAAGACATTGCAACGATATGGTAACCTAGGCCTGATGCTGCAGCGTCACCTGGAATTTGCAAGATACTCAACTCTAAATTAAATACTGCAGATATATCTTGATTGGGCTCATTGAAATGGCGTATATGAATAGGTTGTGTTGGGGGTTTTTCAAATTTTTAATTTAATTTCTTGTTAATAATAACTGCTTAATTATGTGAATTATTGTGTTATGGATTACATATTTGCCAATTCGTTTTATTTGTTCAAACTACCACTTGTTGTACTTTACAGTAGGGAGAGTGTTATATCTATTTTTAAAACACAGATTAATTTTTAAGATTTATATACATATATAGAACGGTTGTTTGGACAAATAAGCAATGACAAAAGGAATTACGGGTTGATTTTTGAGCATATATGTGAATTCTTGATTGATTATTGATTTTTGTGATGTAAAGTGATAAATGTAATTCTAAACAAGATTAAACGTATAAATAAATACCGATATTATTTACCTATCAGGTACATTAGCCGAAGTAAACAAAGGTGCGGTAAGATCTTTAGCATTTTCTTTCAATTCAATAGCTCTCTTCCAGCTCCAATCAACCTAAAATTGTATGTAATATTATTGAACAAAATATAACCAATTACACCAACCATTTACAAACTTTCACTAGTAAATACTAAATTATGTTATGCAATCATTTTAATAAAAAAAACGTGTGTGTGTACTTATGTACGCACGTAAGAAGATATACTTCTTTGGCGTAACAGAACAAAAATAACTAAAGATTTCATCCCGTATGTCACAACTCTCTGTAAAAGGAATGCAGCTAACTTCATCATGTCGCTTTTTGGCTGTCGGTGTGCGCGCGCATTGTAAAAACTTTACTCGTATATTTTTTTCCAAACGTGCCAAAAGAAGTATAACTTCAAAAAACTTGATTTTCCACAAAATTTCTGTACAAATAATTATAAATAGGTACACAAAAAAAAATACAATTATCTATTATAGAATATAATAAAGTAAAAAATAATAATATTGCGAAAAATTAAAAGCCAATATACCCATATTACTACAAAAACACGCCACCATCGACTATTCAACAATAGTACAAAAAGTATTAGCAAATAATATTTAGAGTATAGAGTCTAAGTATACACAACTAATATTTTAATATGAAACAAAAGCATTACACAAAAAAAATAGTTAAAATTGTATAATTAAATACGATAATATCTTATTTCCTAACTTTAAAAAATATAAAAAAGCCAAAAATCAAAATCCGAAAAGATAGTTTTATTTTAAATGTCGAATATTCGCGTAAATCTAAGAAAGTATTACCGGTTATATAATTTAGTCGAGATAAGTGAAAATTAATAGTAACAAAACAGTAATTTACCAAAAAAGGCAGAGTACACCCGACCCCACTATGCGTGCCGGTGGCCCAGTCGTGCGCGCAGCGCTTCAGGAACCGCGACAGCCGTCCTTCCAGCGCCACTGACAGAAGATAGCGTCGTTGCTCGTCCTGTTAGATGAATATTATTATTAAAATGAAACCAAATTATCTATATGTTGCTTAATAGAATTATTTTTTGATGTATTCAGTTTTTTCAATGTCCATTGCTGGACACGGGCCTCATCTCAATGTGAAGAGTTAGGCCATAGACCATGTGCGGCGTAGCTGGATTAGCATATTTCACATGACATTCGACAACTTGGATAGTCCTTCAGACATGTTCATGATGTTAATAATTTGTAAGGCAAGGTTGAAAATTAATGTTGATATTAAATTATATTTATTATACATAATTTTAATGCTCTTTCCTTTGTCAGCGTTCTGTATATATCTGTTGATGTTTAAATAAACATCTTTTTTAAGCACCTGTTTTAATAACAAAAAAACATTCATACCGGATTCACAGCATGCGAGTGGCAGTACAGCGGGCGCAGTCCGGCCGCGACCGCTGCGGCGTGCAGACGTGCCGGCGCGAGCAGGCAGCTGGGACCAGCCGCGCCGATGCCTCGCACTAGCTGTCGCTGCACACCAACCGTGTGGAGTATTGATGCTTCCGATGTGTTGAGCCATGTGCAATCTGTGCAAAATTTTCTTAAATAAATATATATATATATAAGGTTCTGCTAAGATTATGAAGTCACATAAAATTGATTTTAAACTGAAATTATTCTTAGTTATAAGTTGATAAAACAGAAGTTTGTAACCTGTATGGAATTGAATAAATTAATATAAAACAATATTATTATATGATGATGATGTTCTCCTAGCCGATTCCAGCCACGGCGGCCAATCTCAATGAGATTAGCCAACTGCGCAGGAGATATTATAGTGCTCAAGTGTACGCGCAGACACAAGTGCACTCTCTATTCCTATCACTCTCATACTCCGGTGGGACGACCACTCGACACGACCGGTGAGAGTTAAGGCGCAGGACCGACGGCTTTACGTGCTCTCCGAGGCACGGGGATAAAACACCGCCAACTTCCCAACTCCGGGCTGTTACTGAGACTTATTATACAGGAAGACTCAATAACAAAACTTGGCCCGACCCGGGACTCGAACCCAGGACCTCCGGGTGTGCAGCCGTACATGCTAGCCACTACACCACCGAGGCAGTAAATATATAACATATATAATGACTAGTAAATTTAAAAGTGGCTTAATTTAATGGCAGAGTAGAGTACTTACTGTCACACAATCAGCATTAATATCATTCATAATTTTTATGAATAGAAAATTACTATACTACTTCGTCTTCTTCTACCTAAATACTACGTAAATAATATATTTTTATATAATTTAATTATAAAGTATATAACCTAACCTAAAATTATTATTCTTAAACTTGTACAAATTTATAAATAATTAATATATAATACTTAATCTTAAAGAAAATATATCAATTACTCACTATATTGTAAAGAATTAGGGTAAAAGTGTTCTTCCAGTCTAGTGGCATGTGAATATGGAGACACGGACGTTGGGTCCAATCGTATATCCAAAGTCAAACATGTTCCACTACTAACTTCTGGACAGCGAGACACACTCATAAACGCATTATTTTCCAAATGATATGTTGCTGCAAAATATTAAAAAAAATATTTTTTTTAATATTATATTGGATTTAAGTGAGACATAAAGTATAGCTTGGGTGTTTCTATCAAAGAAATACTTAAATTATCATTCTTATTCCATTATACATAAATATGATCTTATTCCAATATATTTCAATTTTTTTTTATGTAAACATAAGAATTTAGGGAAAAAAATCTAACAAGAATAATATTATTAAGATTGTTAAAGGATACAATTAAATTTAAAGTAAATGAAATATAAATTAAAATAATGTACGTACCTGGCATCTGGTCCTTATACCACTGGTCGAGATCAAAGAGCAGCATTCCATGTTGAGTTGGCAAGTTGGGATTATTTCCCCAGCACTCCCATATTAGTTGGCATAAATTTAGCATTGCTATAAATAAAAGTAAAAAAAATTGAATAAACAATTACTTTGTAGTAATACAATGTGGAAATATTTAATTTTATACTAATGTTATCCTATATTACTAAAAAAAATTGCAGGTGTATTTAGTAGTGTTTATGTTACTCTATCTATACTTTATGCTGCCAAAAATTAGCAGATTTTAGCATTTTTGAAGTTATACTTCTTTTGGGACGTTTTGAAAACAATACGAGAAAAAAAATTACGATACGCGCACACACCGACATTTACGATACGCGCACACACCGACATCCAAAAAGCGGCATGATGAAGTTAGCTGATAACTGTTTGTTGTCATGGTAACCGTTGTTATTATCTGACAAATGAATAATATTATATTCTTTCTTAAATGATATTCTATAAATATATGATTTCAATATGCCTAATGAGCCTTACTTATTTTATTAATTTTATCATTTCTTTTACAAACAGAGAGTTGTGACATACGGGATGAAATCTTTAGCTATTTTTGTTCTGTTCCGCTAAAGCAGTATAACATCTTACGTGCATACATAAGTACACACACACATTGTTTTTTTAAATATTAAGATTGTTCCATCAAAATTTTAGGAAAAATTACCATGGCTAATGGGTGGATCAATTAAATGTAAGCCTCTTTCAAAGTTAGTTTGTTGGTTGGTGTATCATGATAGCATGGGCTATATTATACTGACATACCAAATGAATGAAACAACAGTGAAAACTTGAAAAATTAAGACTGCAAATATTATTAAAATTTAACTTGCATTGCTAACAGTAATACATTTATTACTTACTATCTTCGCCTTCCTCTCCAAGAGTAGAACTAATAGAGTAAGTATGGCAGGAAATACATCTGCCACCAATGAGTTGTGCATCTTCCATTGCACTTAACTCTATTTGGAATCTTATTGTTGCCATTGAAAATTTCTACAAATATTTTTTTTTTAGTTAAATGTAAGTATTTTTTAATTTTTGTAGTGTACTAATAGCAATTAAACAGTATTAGAGATGTGCCGAATACGACTTAGGCCGACTAGCCGACTAGCCGGCTGTAAAGAGGCCGAATAGTCGGCTAAGCCGATCACTGTTTCGGGGGATTTCCCTGATGCTTCGCTTACCGCTCATTCGCGCTCAAGTCGCAGCCGCCACCCACGAACGTGTCAGAAACTGCTTTTTTTACTTCGCATTGTTTCTTAAATTTTGCTGTTGTGCGGGTCAGAGCGGTGTTTTTGTGTAAAAAATATTTTTTTGTAAAGTTAATAGTGTTATTTTTCATTAAAGTGTAAAAGTTTAATTTAAATTTAATAATGTCAAAAAAAGAGACTTTCTTTTGTATATGGTTTTTTTGAACAATTGGACAATTGATAAATAACATATTTATTTTCATAATGTAAAAATGATGATTTATTTAAAAGAGCTTGTAAAAGTCTACTTGAATAAAGTATATTTTGATGGATTGATTGAAAAATACATACAAAGTAAGAAGCCGACTAGTCGGCCCTTTTTGCCGACTAGTCGTCCACTTTTGTAGTCGGCACATCTCTAAACAGTATCTCCCCCAACGTGCGTTCACCTTGTCGTGGTGAGGGGGGCTCAGTAGTGCCCGGCAATCCACTCGGGCGCGAAGCTAAGAAACGCACAGGGAGGTTGCCTACTTCGGTGGGTGGTGGGAGGTGGTCCTCTTCGGGGGGCGGTGTACCTTGCGGGTTGCTCCTGGTACTTCTCTGATAGCAGAGTGGACCTTGGAGCAACCCCATGGTTGTGGTGGTCTGCTTTGGCAGACCTGCCGTCGGGGCGTCGTAGTTGAATGCGTAAGCGATCCTGCGACGCCCCATTAAGACGGGGGAAGGTTTTGTTGGGTTTTAGTGGGTAGTACTGGCTGTATTACGCCGGTGAGTCCCACACGTCGTGCGTAAATGCATTTCCCAACGTTAAAAAAAAAACTCTAAACAGTATAGATTGTTACTTTTACAACATTAAATACTGATTATGAAAAAAAAGTACATATTATATGTATTATATTATAATTACAAATAGAACAACTAGAATAAAAACGAAATATTATTACGATTACCTGATAAAGACATTTTGTTTCAGTCAACATCCTTTTGCCTTGATAAGTTAAAGAATACATCACAGCCAATGGAAATTCTTCCTCTTCAAACCTATCTATCACTGAGAAAACTACCCACAAATAGCAAAATGCTCTTGGATCATCACAGGGCTCCTGGAATGAATAAACATATAGAATTACAAATACTGGGTTTATTTTACTTCAGGTGTTTTGTAAGACTTTATTTTAGAATCATTCATTCCCGACCGAATCATAGAAATCTCATATAATGTAATGAAATATATTATTGATAACTAAAACTTAAATAATAAATAAATAAATATTTTGGGACATTAATACAAAGTACCATCTAGTTCCATGGTAAGTTACAAGGTTTGTGTTATAGGTACCAGATAGTTGATACACTACACATATAACTTTTTTTGAAATATATACAATTATAAATGTAAACACCCATGACTGGAGTACAAACATTTGTGTTCATCACACAAAGGAAGGCTCTCAGTGGGATTCAGACTTGCGATCTCTGGCAAAGCAAGCAGGGTCACTACAAACTGAGCCAAATGAGTCATCGTACTTATACTTGACTTGTATCAATATTTACCTGAAATCCAAAATGAGTAACTGGCAAGCACTCCACATTGACTTGGGAAGTGAATTCTAATTCCAAATTCAACAGATTCCATATTTGAAATGCTCCAAAATTAAAACCAACTGCTAAACTACCCAACTGAGGTATATATTGTGCTACGGTTACTCTAATATGACTTTGCTTGGCTTTCATGCGGACTGTCCCATCAGGATTGCGAAAAATATACTGGCCATCAAGAAAAGAATCTTCATTTAGTAGAATAGCCAAGTGATCATCATTTTCAACAGCCAAGTCTCTTTGACTTTCAATTTTGTGTATAGCTTTAAAAGGCAAAAAAATAAGATTTGCTACATTATTTTCCCCCCTCACTAAATGTTCATAGCCCTGTGATACATCTTTTAATGCTGTAACAAACATTAGTAAATTGTTGACAGTTTTGTAATAATGAAAGGACATAATATGTAAATACTTGTTAATAATTTCTTTTACATAAGGATTTTTTCTAACCTTGTAATAAGATGGCTCTGTTAAGATCAAAGACAAGGACTTCACCACGTCGAGTACCAGCCATAACCAAACCATCAAAACACATAAGCGGTCCATTGGGCAAGGCATCACAGACTGCAAGTTCAGTGACCACAACATTGGTTTGTATACATCGAAGAAGTTGGGACCCATTGATATGAAATACATATATGAGACTTGTTGTATCATCGCACTCTAAGCTGATGATTAGTTGCTGTGAATTTTCTGTCAGAGGTGTTGGTAGTTCTACTACACTTGTGACTGTTATGCGACTGCTGTAAAATAACGTTTGAACTTTAGCAAGGAATTGTATTTTTTTTTTATTATAACAACTAATTTTTTACTACCTTATGCCACCTCCAAATGTTCGAGCAGCAATTTTAAGTCCACTTCGTAAATCAACAACACAGAATTTTGGTCCAAGAGCGAGCCATCCATATTTAGTATCTCGAAGAATTCCTCCTAGAGGAGTTTTATCTGTAAAGTCACATGCATGAGGTCATATGTTGATATTAGTTACATTTATGTTTGCATGTCTTGTCATGACGTTTTACCTGAAAATTCTTCGGTTGGTTGTAAAAAACTAAATACAGCCGGAGAAAGACTTGTCGTTTTAACAATAGAAAAGACACTTTCTTGTAATTTTTGCATAATTGTTCAAATGTTTGTAAATTACAAATTTATTCAATTTTAACGGCTTCTTTACTTTCCTAGAGGTTATGTATGATACATTATGATTTATTATTTTATCTTAGTAATAACCTTTGTGGAACTTTATAAACAAAAACAATTAAACCTATAGTCTACATTCAGTTAAATTATATTTATCGATTAGATCTTTATAAAGCTGTTTTTGTCACACAATTCCGGTAAGCGCGGAATATATTTAATTTTGACCTTAAGTTTACTATATTTTGACAGTGACGTTTATTTATTGTCTCTGACAACATAAATTGATATGATTATATCGATTTTATGTAATCGATATGAAAATAAACAAGAGGGATTAATTTTGAAACAACTTCCTAATTCAAAAGTAAATAATTCCTAGCCTAGTGAAGAACTGTTTTATTATATGTTACAATTATTACTGACTAACATTGATCACAAAATAGCCGTACGTATCATATTTTTTCCAATTTACTTACTCGCAGAGGCAGACGTAAACACAGTGATATTTTATTTCATGAATATTATTTATTAATTTTGTTTGAAGTTTTTTTAGTCAGACCGGAATGAATCTAATATACATATTATGTTATTAGATTCCTTCCGGTCTGACTAAAGTAATATAGTTCCTTATTATTCATATATGATCATATTTCAGATAAAAATTACCTTTATGCAGGATTTGAACCTACAAACTTCAGAATATAGATTGTCATCCGCATAGTCATCGAAAAAGGTTACATACTATGTTGGTACTCATCTATATATATAAAAGAAAGTCGTGTTAGTTACTTCGCTTATAACTCAAGAACGGCTGAACCGATTTAGCTGAAAATTGGCAGGGAGGTAGTTTAGAGCCAGGAGAAGGACATAGGATACTTTTTATCCCGTTCGACCGCGTTCAAATTTTTATGATATTTTAATTTTTGGATTTCTCTTAGTCCGGAATAGGTAAGTATTAAAACATATAATTAAAATGTGAGAAAGAAAGATTTTTTCTTTTTATATCTATTTAAAACGTACCTAGCGACGAACCCGAGCGAAGCGAGGGTGAGCCGCTAGTTTATTAATAGTTGCAATTAATTTTAAGGAAAGATTTTCACCATAGAATTTTTATGTGTCATATTTATTCACCATGGACGAATTAGAGACTTCGTTCATGTTATTCACATATTACTTATGTGGAAATTTTATGATAGGATTTTCAATAAAAATAAAAAATGCATAATAGCAAACTCTTGTTTAGTTAAATAAATACTATATCGTTATGTTGCATTTAATGTCTTTATTTTCATATTGATAATAAAACATACACTTTTATAGATATGTTTAGATATTTACATGATTTGTACATTGTCTGATTTTGAACTACCCACTTATAGCTAAAATTATAATAATTGGGTCATGTGAACATAATTATGTATAGCAAGCAATAATTTGAGAACAGTTCTCAAAATAGTCATATATTTCATTTTCTTATATTTACTTCTAACTATGTTTAGCACTAAAATAATATTTATTTTTATTACTAATACATACCTAATGTAACTAAACATATAATTTTGTAATACAAATGATGTATAAATTCTATCAGTTTCTTAGGAGACGGAAATGTTAAAGAGTACCTAATAATATTTTTTGTTTTCCAATTACAACAGTTATTAAAAAAAAAGTTATTCGTGTCATAAATAAAAATCATCTATTTCGAGTTGACGGATTCATGTAAATCGTCTTTTTAACCGACTTCAAAAAGGAATTTTATCCTGATACCTATCGTTGAATGTTTTTGTGTGAATTTTGCGCGAATTGCTCGCGTTTAAGGAATGGATTATGATAATTGCTTCATTAATCAATAGATTACCATTTTAATTACTAGTAAGTACCTAGTAAGTTTTCTGTTGTTTAATCTTTAAGTCGATGAATTTTAAGATAGTTTTGAAGTTGGTGTTCTGGATAAGTTTAAAATTAATGATTTAATAAACATTGTAGACTTAATAAAAAATTTGATTTTTACAAGAACAGTCATAATTACTTAATACTGGATTTTGTTCGCAAGTCCGAGCAATAATCGCGTCGACAAAAAGTAAATTTTATTCCGAACTTCACAGCTCACACAAGCCCATTGAGGCGTTAGCGAGAACAAGTAAAAAGTAAAAACACAAACACTCACAAACTATCATATAACATAAGTGTCATAGTAATTATCCTGAAATTTAAATATAACTTAATTGAGCAATTTTAATTATTTTTGTGGTGATTAACTCGTGTCACTGAAACATTTACAACGTTTCTATTGGTTTCTTTCGAATGTGGACTTATTTTAATTTGGCCTTGAACTATATTTAGCATGGAGGTATAAGGGCTGTCTATTGGCTGCATATTTTCGATATTATTTTCATTTTTTTTATTTTTAAGGGAACTATTCCGACTATTTACATTTTCATAAACAGAATTTTTCATTGAAACATATACCTGAGAATTCTCTGTAGATTCATTTAGGTTTTTCTGACCTGGGCTAAAACCGTTTTGTGTTATAACGGGATTGGATTTCGAAGTACTAGGATTTTCATTTTCAGAGATAATATCATTTGGGTTAGCACTTTCAAGTGAACTATTTCGCGTTACGTGGAGACTATTAGACCTTGATGAATTTCCAGCAGAATGAAGCGTCGACGTACTTCCTTTCATACTTTCTAACTCTTTAGAGAAAACTTCTTCACTTTTTTGAAATCTTTGTACGTGAGTAGACACTGATGTTGCATTCTGAAGAGATATTGCACTTTGTGATCTCGATCTAGAATTGTTAGAAGTTCTCTCTGATTGCAAAGTATGCTTGCTGTCCGCTTTATTCATTATATTTTTATTTGAAGTTTCCATAGATCCGTAAGCGCTGTCTTTTGTAGAACTACGATAAGATGATTCCTCTTTAACTCCATATTTCCTTACTACATTTGCTGGTGCAACTGGTTCTATATTTTGAACATCATAAGAAAGAGGATTTCTGTCGTTCGACCGATTGACACCTTCAATGGTTTCCCCAGTTCTTGGATTAATATGTTTTTCCGTATCATAACGAAGAGTAACCCTGTGGCTCTCATCAATTGGATGTGGTCTTGATCTATCTTCTAATTCTACATCACTGTCATCATAAACATTTGGTTCATGTGAACTCTCTTCCTATAAAAATAGAAAATTTAATAAAAATAGTGTAATAAACATATCTAATTCGGACAGCCTATTACCATTTGTATTTATATGTTACATGAATTTACGTTTCTCTCCATCTACTTAAGATAAAATTATGCGTTGGGAATCATATTACAGTATATACATATTACATAAATTACGCAAATGAAATAGTAGTATAAAGTAGGACTGTATTAACTTATTTTGTGGTTATAAAACAAATTTTGAGAAAAAAAACAGTTTTTTTTTTATATTTGTATTAAAACCCAACTACTACTAGTATAGTATTATATGATCTATGCAACTACCAAACATTATAAAATGACTAGTTACCTCTTCATCAGCTTCTTCTATTACACTATTTTGAATCCATTCACGAATTCTCTGTTTTTTTGCATGTCGATCAACTGTAGTTTCTATGCCATTCTCTCTAAAGTGTTTCAATAATGTATTCTTTTCATTAGGATCACTATGAAAACTATACATTGATGGACAAAGTTCATCTATATCTCCACCCGCTGAAAATATATTTTAACAGGTTATTTAATTTCAAAAATACTTAGCTAATAACAATACATAATATGGTAGTATATGGTAGTATGGAGTGGCACCTCGAAAATATCTGATAAGATATCTATAGTAAATGAAAACTAAGAATCAATTTTTTTTGAAGTTGGCTTTTTTTAAGATTTTATTTTTCCATTTTTAGAGTAGATATAGTAGTAGCAAAATAAAAAGAAAGTATTTCAAAAATTTAATAGGTGAAAAATCACCTGTTTTTTCTTCAAATTTAAATGTAACCATTTCGGCATAAACCTCTTTCAAACAAAATAAAAAGAATTTTGCAAATCCGTCTATAATAGTCTATATATGATGGAGTTATGCCCGAACATACATAAAAAATATAAACATCTGAATTGAGAACCTTCTCCTTCAAAAATGAAGTCGGTTAAAAAAACAATACAATACTTCTTCAAAATATAAATACATATACGTTTTGTTTTTTTCAATTTCAACGCCCATTTAATATTCAAATGCATATTAAAAAGCGATATGTTCCATAAGTTTTCTTTTAAAATAATTGTTTAAAGTACGTACCTATTCGATCTGTATATCCTTTCGCCATCCACCTATCGTCGACGTATCTAGATAATTCAGAAAAATTTGAGGCTCTTTTTTCTATTCTTGGTTCCACAAACTTTTTAAACATTTTTTGCGCCTTTGAAGAAACCATTTTCCATAGTTTAGGTTGCCTTTTTAGTGGATTAGCACTACTATACCAGTTGTAATAGCTTAAAAAAAGAAAGTTTAAATTATCGAAATATAATAGTATGATATGCGATAATATCTATGCGGAGGAGATATTATAGTGCAGCGCGTGTCGGTGTTCGCGCAGACACAACGTGCCCTCTCTATTCCTCTTACTCTTAAAGTCCGATGGGACGATACTTTGACACAACAGATGAGAGTTAAGGCGCAGGACCGACAGCTTTACGTGCTCTCCGAGACACGTCAGCGAAGCATCGCCAACTTCCCAACTCCAGGCTACTGAGAATTTCTTGACAGAAATACTCAATAATTGAAATTGGCCCCACCCGGGACTCGAACCCAAGCTCTCGTCGAAGTATGTATATTAAAGATAGAATATAAGAAATATCATTATACTTGTTATACTAATTGTTTCCACATCAACATTGTTCAATATTTTTGTTCGCTTAAGTTAATTTCAATAGAACTCTTTTTGTAAAGGTTATAAATATAAAAGAAATTATATATTAATCGCTTTGAACTTTCAATTTAAGCACGTTACCCGTAACATGGAGTAGAAATTATGTTTGGTGGTAGTGAAATAAACTAAAACAACTAGAACAACTTGAACCACTATAATGACTTAAAAATATTTAGTTTATAAAAGAATTTTATATTGTACAAAAAATATTTATTCATACCTTAAATACCTAGGATCATCAAAAGCTGCTTTTTGCCAAGGCAAACAGCCCGTAAGACAAATAAATATAACTATGCCGAACTGCCATACATCATGGCTTATTAGTGCTCTGAAAAAATAAACGTTTTCCTAAATAAAATTCCTAAAGCTTATTTTTTATAGTATTAATGTTTATTATGGTTTTCTACGCTCTATACTTTAAGCTAACAATAAATTCTTTGTTTTACTTAAAATTTAGATTATATTATACCATTAAATTATATGTGAATATACAAACACTGCATTACTTGTAGGTACTATCCACAGAAAGACGTAACACTTCGGGCGGAGAATATGGCAACCACTCATTTCTTCTTCTAACAACAGATTGTGATTTTCTAGTTTCTCCAAAATCACATAGCTTTATTCTTGAAAAATCTGATTTAAATATCAAAATATTATCTAGTTTAACGTCACGATGCACCAAGTCTCTTTGATGTAGATGCTCTAATGCAGCTGCTAATTGTTTTGCTACCCTTTTTGTATGTATTTCACCTATACCCGTATCAAGCATGTTGGATGTTAAGTCTCCTGAAAATCGAAATTTTTAGTTTTATAGATATTATCAATGATATATACTGACTTTACAAAAGAGAAATCTTTTCAATTATATGTTTATCAAAGGTGCTAATTGTATTTGTGACGCAAATTTTTTGCCTATTTTCCCATATTAAATATATTTACTGAGAATACTACTTACAATTAGGCACATAATTCTGTTTTGATAAATTTAATTATATTTGTCCTACATACATATCTAGGAAAATTTTGCCCTAAGGGTGGAAAAAATATTAAGCATATTCTGAAGTCGTCATAAACTATATACTAATATATTACATAAATTTCACAAAAGAAATTATTATTTATTTTTTTCACAAGAAATTGAAAAATCTGAATAATCAAAATTATATAATTTAATTTTTTTTAGTTTTTTTTGTTCAAAATTTAGAATAAAATCAGAGAAAACACACGGAGAAGTAAAGGAATTAATGTGCATATACATTTTATCTTGGCGTAATTCCAGTGAATAATGTACACAATAGTACAGATGGTAAATTTATTACAGCTATATAAGTGCTCGAGACGTTAAAATTTTGTAGTTAATGAGAAGTAATATTTACCTAAAGGTGCATATTCCTGACAAAATACATAGAAACCAGCAGTTTCAAAAGCAACGTCAAATGTCGTGACTATATTCTTATGTGCGCTTAAATGTAAACCATAATGGAATTCTCTATAAAAATCTCGTATCGATACGTAAGGCTTTGGTAAAGCCTTAAGTACAATTTCTGTATCAGATGCTCTATGTTCAACTAAAAGTATTTTTCCAAACCATCCTTCACCAACTATTTGTAAAATATCGAATTCTTCAACCAAACATACCTAAGAAGAAAATTAATGCATTAAATATTGTCACTTGGTTTATATTCATTAAATTCACATATCATATATAGAAACATATTTAAATTGAAAATAAATCTTACTTTTTCTAATTCAAATTCCCTTATTTTATGTATGGAACCAGTAAGAGCTCTTCGTGTGCCGTTATTCATCTTTTGTCTAATCTATAAGTCATTCTTTATCTGAAAATAAAATTAGATACTTTTGACCTAATAACCTCGAATCTCAGGTGTGTATTATTTCTTAAATGATTGTTTCAATAGGAGTCGAATGGATCCAACGTCGGTCCCATTTCATAAAAAATTGTTGAGTGAATGATCTTGGCAAAATGCCAGGGTATGATGTCTACTCCAGAACCAGACAGCTGTCCTGACGTCACTGTGACGTCGCTTATCTTTATACTCGATTGCTTGATAGCCTAAGTTTAAATTGCTTTTAGTTAGGATAACTTTTATCAGAGCTTTATAATCACATGTTTATAAGCTTTCAAAAACGTAAATTATAGGATCCATTAGGTGTCTGTGTAATTTAATTTATTTATAAATAAACATATAGGAGCTATAGTTTAAATTGCTTAGATTAGAAGAATTAGAGCATTCCTGGTATTTATAAACCTATTTCACCCTATTCCATTCTGGTAAGACTAGTTTAAGAAACATTAGTTTATAGATAAAATTAATTCGGTCTTATGGGCCTATAGATGCACAATCTACCGCGCTGGGCTTAGGACAATGTAAATTTTAAAGAAATATTTCTTAAGGCCTTAATCAAAAATTCATACAAATTATAAAGAAAACTAAGCATGTGGCATGGCATAGCTATTAAGAAATGTTAGTGTATTTGTTTTTTTTATCATGACTTGGAAAACGATTCTTTCTGGCGACGGCTTATGAGCTTTTGCAAAAGTCTAATTTAATGAAATATGATGTTAACTGTAAATTTTATTTGTTAAGAAACAACGATTGAAAAATTAAAAATTAAAACAAAATTAGCGCAAATATTCACAAAAAAAGCGGTGCCAGCCTACAATATTTTAAGATATGAATATCTAATAGATAAAATATATGTATTTTACGTATCGAAATATATTAGATTTGCTTTGCATCGGCTGGCATCGACTTCGAAAATATCTGATTAGGTATCTATTCTAAATGAAAACCTCCGTCGAGTTATTTTTTACTTTTAAGTGCCTGGAAGTCGGTTTTTTTTAAGTTTTTATTTTTTAATTTTTAGTGTAGACGTAATAAGCAGGTAATTTGTAAGAAGAAAGTTTTTTAATAACATATTCGATTAAACAATTTATTTAAACAAAATATTTTTTGTTGATTTTTTTAAAAACCGTTCGACCGATTTCAATAAAATTTATATGGGACCCCTGGGAAGTATACCCTTTGAAACAATAAAAAATCCAAATCGGTTCAGGCGTCTTTGAGTAATCGGTGAACATACATAAAAAAATAGATTCCAACGAATTGAGATCCTTCTCCTGTTTGGAAGTCGGTTAAAAAGGTAAAATATTTTATTTGTATATATTGTACTTTTTCGATTAAAATTTTTTGCATTTATATTTGCGCAACATTGCTGGTCATTCTAAGGATAGTTCGAACATTCTTTATTATTTATTAGTTACTGGATAATATTAAGCTACAGGCTAATGCGTTTTATAGAAACGTATTTATAAATTAGATACAAAAGGATTTTTTTCTTAATTTTAATCAATTATTTACAGGATTATTTTACATATAATTAAAATAAAATAATCTTTTATACCAAGTAATATAATATTTAACTCTTTACTAAATTTCATATGTACACATTTACTGAAATTATTAAATGGATTATAACTATTATAATACTATGGCTTATTATTATTATACATAATATTTATATACCCATTGTGATTGAATAAAACTAAATTACCAAACATAAAAGGGCAAATCCCTGCTTATTATCGGCACACTAAACACTTGGACTTCATCCAAAACTACCACATTTATGTCACATCGTGGTAAAATTATTAAATATATCACCGTTTACTTTCACTCATCCGTCATTACAATTGAATTTTAGTTAAAAATGGACTGTTGTATTTCAGGACTTGCGGGTAGGTCGACCGGCGCTTATGTCTCAACTGGCAGCGCACACGCAGCGACACCCGGCCGGCTATTTTCGTGCTACATATGCAAGTAAAATTATTTTACATCTAAAACATAACGATCAACGACCCGGCACTTTTTGTTCTAATTTCCTTAAAAACACTAAAAGGACAAAGTCTAATTAAAATACTCTCCATATCCTACCCTAGTTTCCCTCATATGTCATATTTTTTGTAGCATTAAAACCTAGACTTCAAGTAAAATGTATAGTTTCTTAAATAGCTAACTATGTTAGTTTTTTGTCATTAGAAGAATTATTAGATCATATGAAGTTTGAATATGCATCAATTCCTCCTCGTTCCTAATACAAAATATCGCATATATATTTCCTTATATTGAATGTGCAATAAGAGGGTTATAAAATGTTTCTCTCTTTATTTTTAGATTGAGCGAGTTTCTAGACCTTAATTTGGCGGTACTCCAGTATTTTAATTTAAGTTACTTAAATACTAATTATAATAATATCATTAAATTCTCTAGAAGTTCGACTATTGCAACCATTTAAATACTATTTGCCTTATTATAAATTCTTATAGTTTTTTAATTGATAAACTAGTGAATTATCCGCTAGTTGCACTGGTTTTGCTCAATTTTGTGTCTGAGTCAAAATCCGTTGCATACTTTACATGAATTTAACGCATTCAACGTTGATGGTGACTTTGTTTCATACTATTTAAAAATTATGTTATACTAAAGTTAAAAAATACAAATTATTTATTTGTAATTTATGTATGTATTCAGCCCTTTTAACGTCCCACTGCTGGGCACGGGCCTCCCTTCATACGAAGGGGATCATAGTCCACCACGCTGGCCAAGTGCGGATTGGCGGACTTCACATGTCTTTCAAAAACTTGCAAGGTTTTCTCAGACATGCAGGTTTCCTCACGATGTTTTCCTTCACCGTAAGGCAAGTGGTAATCATGTTAGAAATGATTCGCACATGAAAATATCAGAGGTGCGAGACCCGGGATTTGAACCCTGCTTCACTCGTTTTCCCAAGCGAGCGCGTTACCACTGGACTCTTGAAAATAGACCATATAACAACGAGAAATTACACTACACATGTAGTGTCATTACTACATAATACTTTAGTTATACCTATTACAATGTAAGTAAAAATTAACACATAATACCTAATAATCAAAATTTTAAGACAGTCTAGAAAATGAGGTTTCGAGTTTTGCGTTTTTACATATATATATATATATATATATATATATATATATATATATATATATATATACCCATTGTGATTGAATATATTTATAATTTAATCAAACGAAAGTTCAACCATAAATATTGCTTTTAGTAAAGTTATTGAAATATTGAAACGAGAAAATCTTAATGATAAGAGTATCCTCCACGAAACGAGGATATTACCTATTTACTATTGTGGTTTGTTTATCTTTTGTAATTATTTAAGAGTAATTCGGTATAGGAATTTAAGGGCTTCAACTCTCTATAAAATATAATTTTTGCCCCTTTCATTTCCTCTTAATAATTTTTATACTCTCCAACATCTATTCAAAAATATAGTCCACTACCCTAGCTTAGCAGTAGGTAAGCACCTATTGTACAGGTGCGTAAATATATTTGCCAATAAAAAAAAATGCGTTTTTTTAATAAATACATACTCAGTAGATAAAGAAAATAAATAGGAGACTACTTATTTTACTATTTATTCTAAGGATAGTAAGTTGAGAGAATTCGACTGCATAAAGTGATGAGCATAAATTATTATAGGTAAACAATAAATATTAGGAGTATGAAATCGATTATTGAAGAAATCGATATATTATATTGTCTATGGTTGGAGTATTACAGAATATATTACGACAAATAAATAATAAACTAAACTTTAATATTTTTAATGTAAGACATATTAGTTCATTAATGTAATAATTTATTTATAACGCTTAATAACATGTTTACAAAAGACCTCTTGCTATTTTTTTGTAACTGCTGAGTGCTGACTGATGACATAATAATGAAACCCTGACACTTGATAGTTGTTATTTTGTTGTGTTTTTGTTTATTTCAGTATTTAAATTATAATAATTTATATTAATTTTTATAATGTTATTGTAAAAAAAAAAAAAACTGTACGAGATTATAAACACTTCTATTTTGGACTTCAAGTTAAATATGTAAAGGTAACATTTCTGTTCTGTTTATTTAAAGTTATGTTAAATTTTTTATTAAATATAAATAATATAACGTTTTAGGGGGTTTTAAAAAGACAAAAATCATATTTTTAAATTAATTTTTAAAATATAGTATTTGAAATGTGATACTAGGACTTAGAAATGAAACTATTTATTTTGCTAATGTCTTAATCTTTATTATGATTTGTTTATAAAAAAAACTGTTCCCTTAATTGGTTTTTGGATCCATTCTCATTTTTTAGTTATTGGTACTATACATATTTTTGTACTCGTATTTGGTAAATATTTATCAGTTAAGCTATCATATGCGAAGAGTTAGTAATTAGCATATAGATTTATTTAAAATTTTACAAGTATAGTAACATCATTGACAGAAAAATCATAGTCATTTTACAAGAAAAAATGAATGAATATGAAAAAAAATACATTATGACATTGACTTGATCACTATTATGATTAAGTCCTATATAAAAGGCAACCACTGTAAGCACATACATGCCTCCTCTTATTCTCATTTCTTACTGTGAGTGGTACCAGTTCTTTATGTATTGTAAATTTTGTTTAATTTAATAAATTATCAGACAAAATCACCTGGTAGGATGAACATAAATTATTTAAATTTAATTGGAGGGAAAAATTCTTAACACAATGACTTACAACAATTTACTATATAAAGGTATTCATTCCATTATATCATGTTCTTATGATGTTTTAAGTACTTACATAAGAAAATCCAATATTAAGTGAAGTAAAAACAAAAGTAATAAGGCATCTTCGATAAATTATGTAAAACTTTTATTTTCTTAATTTTAAACTAACTTTGATAGATCA